AAATTTCAAAACTTACCACTGATCTCTACTGCCAACCTGTTGCAGCAGGTAGTGACTTGATGTAAGCAGATTACATTTATGTCGTCTCCACACTTTTTCATTCCATCGACTTTAAAGGGATTGATGAGAAGAACTACGCACTTTGGCTCGCTGAAACTCGGCGTACATTAAGCTCAATGTATCATATACCAATCCTCCTATTCTGAGATCAGGATATTGCCACACCACCTCGCACGTTGCCCGAAAGCGATAAACGATCATACAAACTGTGCCAATTTATAGACACTTCGCGGTACGTTTCTTTGCCTCATTTGCTGCTTTTGAAACTTTTTCCGCCTGAACCTTATGGCGAATATTTCCATGTTATTTTTCAAAAGCTCTACCTTATTGAAGAAGGCAAAAGATGAATCCAAACATTCAGAAAATTGACATCCTTTGCAACGTAACGAACAAGGAATTTGCCCGCCATTTTGAAAATCACCGATGTATGACGTGACGTCACACTGGCAGTGATCAGTGAACCAATGTTTACCCTAGAGACGGCCCCTCCCTCCTGGGTTTTTAATATGCCCTTTTCCAAATATGATATAATAAATTTTGTGATTGCAGGCCTAAATTACTTGAACATTGCTATGCAGAACAACTTTTACAATGTTATCACGAAAATGGCTACCATGAACGATCCGTTAGCAAGGGACCTTGCAGAGAAACAACGATGCGTTTTTCTTTAATAACTTTCAGGTGTCTTGCATGTCTAAAAATTATTCTTTTTACTTGATCTAAGAAGGGGTATACTTCTTCAGCTCCTTTTTTTCTGATTTGGGGTCCAAACCATGCAGCTGATTAATGCAATGTCCGCTTGGATAAACAGAGGCGAAGTGAAGCCTGATCTTGGTGTAAATCAGAACCAGAAATGTAGAACTGCAAGCTTGATCGAAGGGCTACATTGAACGATTCCACCCCGGGGGTGTACTCTTCGCTATTCTTGGTGTAGGTGTGCCGCCCGGTTCTCCATATCCTGGCCCTATTTTCGACAAAAACATTTTGGTTTCCAAGTTTTACTTAGTCGGCGAACCCATGACCTTGACAAAGTATCCAGTAGTTTTTGAACCTGAACATTCTGTTAGGTAAAGATATTTGACACACTCTTGTCGCTCCTTTGAAAACCTTACCCTCTTTCACACCACAATGGCCGAAATGTATACACATTTTCAAAAACGGCTCAAAAACTCTACCCTTAGGGGCGGTACATTCCAATATTGCTTACCTTATTATCACTTATTTTCACGCGACTTTAATTTCTCGAATTTGGAATAGAAATATTTCGCGGTATTTAAATTTCGCGATTCTGACGAGTCATCGTTTTTCAAGGAAATTAAATTTCGCGAATCAAGTAAACTGGTGGTCGTTTTTTTTACACTCCCAATTCCATAACGAATAGAAACGCAACAAGCAACTGGTTGAAATGTTCCACAATGTCAGTAACATAACATCTTTTAAAAGTGCACTGTGACCAACGGAGCGGCATAGCCTGCAGTGCAGGCGTATTTTGGGTGGGCGAAACATTGTTCGTGTTCGTATTGTTGTAGCCGCCATCTTCGATTTTTCACGACAGTGAAAGATTGGGGAGAGTAGAAAGAGTTTCAACATGGCGCTTTCGCGAGCAAAAACATTTGCGCGCCCGAAGAAAACGCCTGGACTGCAGGCTAACCGAGGCACTAATCATTCAGCAAGATAAGGGAGATGAGTCAGATAATGAGAAATAAGGACATACGGTGAACGTAAATTTCAGCCATCCTACTCGTATGTACTCGTAGCAGACGGAAAACTTAAATAGAGTTTTATATATAAAACTATGTATATGGGTCACTAAATTTCGCGTCTTTAACTTGCGCGGCACCGTTTTTACGCGAAATTTTTTAAATCGCGAAAATAAATGATAATAAGGTATATGCGTGGAGTATCCCGTTGGATTTTATTGCAGGATAACTGACGTAAGAATGCGAGATCTTGAAATATAAGTATCTTGTTGCAGGCTACGGTCGCTTCCAGCACCGCATCTAAACAAAGGTACTTTCAGACGGGTTCCATGATTCCTACGATTTTCAAAGGATTGGAATTGAACTGGCAAACCTTTGAGGCCTTGGAACAGCAACCTTAACCGGACTAAACTGATTACAGGTAAGTGACAAAGACGGAATACTTCGTCGGCTGGTATAGGTTTGGCCTTTTTCCAAGTCATAGTAGACACCCAGTTTGAGACACTTGCCACGGGGAACCCGAACGCTGTATTAGCTAATAAAATAATCAGTTGCTATTTGTTATTTAGTGTGTTTCCTGAGTCTTTATGAGCCGTTTTGGAAGGGATTTGAATCAACTCAGAGACGGTTAACATTGCCGGTATCCATCCAAAACGTGTCCGCCATTTTGGCTGGCTAACCGGAAACTTGTCAACGTTGCAAATTTTGTAGTCAAAGATCCACTGCATTTGTCAGACCATAGCCCTATTACTACTTGGCTGAATATTAACAAAAAGACGAGTTACAATCACACCATACTTGAAGGAGATACTTTAACGCGTTTACCGAAACAATTTCTGTGGGAAAACGACTCCGCTCAAAAATTCAAGGATGCTCTGAGGTCTCCCCGTATACAAACACTAATACGCGATTATATTGCTGGCGATACATTCAATGAAAGTACTGAGCTATCCCAAGAAAAGGTGGAAAACATTTTAATCACAACGGCTAAGTGTTGTTTAAAGATAAGAGCAGGTAAAACGCGTAAGCGTATCAAATCATTATCAAACAAAAAATGGTTCGATAAAGAATGTCGTTTGAAAAGGCATGAATTACGAAAACTAGCAAACAAGAAACATCAAGACCCTTTGAATACTATCATACGTGAGCAATGCCATGATACTCTGGCTCAATACAAGAAATTACTTAATTTTAAAAAGAATGATTATTACAATGCCAAGATTTCTGAGCTAGAAAAAACTGGAGACAATTCAGACGCGAAAACTTTCTGGCGATGCCTCAAATGGATGGACGACACTAGAAAAGGAGAGGATGTTCCATCAATGTCGGAGTAAAATTGGCTACAATATTTCCACAATCTTCACTCAAATGAATCTCTTACCCAACGCAGCAAAACATTTGCAATGAATCACGACAAAATGAATGCCATGGTCAACACTCTCGTCCTTTAGATTTCATGATAACTGAAAGAGAAATACGTAACGCCGCGGAAAAGTTAAAGAATAATAAATCACCATTTTCGGATAAAATTAGAAATGAAATGATAAAAGCTAGTATTGATACACTGATGCCGGTATATGAAAAATTATTCAACTCAATTCTTAATCAACGGACAATGCCACAGACTTGGTCTGGTGGTCTTATTACTCCCAGTTATAAATCGGGCGGACGAAGCGATCCGGCAAACTACCGGGGTAACTGTGTCTCCAGCTGCCTGGGAAAACTATTTTGTTCTATCTTAAACCAACGACTTCTCGAGTATATCGTTTCTTTGAATATACTCCACAAATCTCCAATTGGCCTTTTACCCGATAACCGCACAGCAGACCACGTCTTCACTCTCCGAACCTTGATAGATAAGTACGTTCACAATCACAACGAAAAGATCTACGCTTGTTTTGTAGATTTCAAAAAAGCTTTTGACTCGGTCTGGCATGACGGGCTCTTGAATAAGCTGCTGCAAATTGATGTTGATGGTTCTTTTTATAACTTAATTAAAAGCTTATATCACAACTCTTCCTGCTCAATTAAAATTGCCCAAAAACAAACGCGATCATTCAGTTATGCGAGGGATGTACGGCAAGGCTGTATCTTAAGTCCACCACTTTTTAATCTTTATATTAACGACCGACCTTTCGCGTTTGAAAATACATTATCGGATCCTTTTGTTTTGCCAAACGGTGCAAAACTAAATTCTCTATTATATGCAGACGATTTAATCATTTTATCACGATCCAAAACAGGACTACAAAAGTGCCTCGATAAACTATCTTCATTCTGTACTTCATGGATGATGAAAATCAATCCCAAGAAAACAAAAATTATAGTTTTTCAGAAACGTGCGAGAAAAAAAATGCTGATTTTCACTTTCTCATAGATAGTCAAATGATTGATGTTGTACAAGAGTACACTTACTTAGGAACTCGAATGTCCTCATCGGGAAATTTTTTCAGTGTCACGTGAACATCTCAAGGAGAAAGCTCTTCATGCCCTCTTCAGCTTGAGACGACACACGAACCTTAGCAAACTAAAAGCAGCTCTTGCCTGTAAAATATTTGATACTATGATCTCCCCTATTCTAACATATAACAGTGAAATTCGGGATGTGTATGCCAAACCAGATTTTAAGACCTGGGACGGCTCACAAATCGAGAAGGCACACCTTCAATTTTGTAAACGATACTTGGAGGTAAACAACAAAGCTTCTAATATAGCTAGTAGAGCAGAGCTTGGTCGTTTTCCTATAAATATCACAATTCTCGAGTACATTTTATATATACAGTCTAAAGATGATGAATCTCTCGTCAAACAAGCATTTTTAGCTGTTTTTAATGTTATTCCACGTACACTGTAATGGCAAAAATAGCTTCCACTCTCATTTAATGAATATTTCAGAATACTTCAAGCTTCGTGACTTTAACCCTGATTTATTAGGTATAGCTATGGTAAAAAGCTATGTAAGTTCAATGAAACAGTAATATATCTCATATTGGCAAAACACCCTTCAACATTCTCAAAAACTTGAATTTTATAGATCTTTTAAAACCTATTATGCCTCCTCTAGTTACTTAGACTTAGCAAGAGGAACAGCTGGGAGAAGGGTTTGGTAAAACTACGAATAAGCAATCACAAACTAATGACAGAAATATGCAGATACAATCAAACTACGAAGGATAATAGGCATTGCCGTTTTTGTGGATGCAATGTAATAGAAGACACGTAGAAGACGAAGTTCACTTTCTTTTTCAATGTCCTAGATACTCTATGATTAGGTAAAAATTTTACTATAAAGTCAAGACTCTGATTCCAAATATTACCCAGTTACCTATAAACGGTTTGATCAATGAACTGATGAACTCTTCTGAATACTTTATCAATATACAATTCATAAAATATATTTCAGGTTGTTTTGATGTTCGTGACAAATTATTATCAAAGTAACGTAATTGCCCTATGCTGTAATTTTGATTCCTAAACATAGCTTTTGCAATACTGTATGTGTTTGTATGGTCATGCAAATAAAGCTCGTTGTTGTTGTCTTCCTTAAAGGAAGATTTCCTTCTTTTATAGGCACCCTCCCGCGTTTAATTGAGGCATTGGCATTAGCATTAGTCCTGTTCAGAAGTTTTCCTCACGAATATTATATTCCATGAGTCTCAGCGCCAATAGCGATGTACTGAACGCGTTCACATTATACTTGTAGGTCTTGTACTCACTTTGTAGAGACTGACGCATTTCCGTCTCACCTGATCAGTTTACATAGTCGTTTTTAGTGATGTTTATGAAAAAAATGTTAAGAAATTATTTGGGGCATTTAACGCCTGCGTAGCAGGCGCTTGGAAGTAGTGGGCGTAAGAAAGAACGGGCGCGCGAGTGGGAGAAGGAGCGCCTGCCCGGGAAGGCCCACGGAAATCGTTTCAATTAGCATTCTGTGAGTGCGGATATTTCCAATTGGTTGAGAGGCTCCCGAGGGGGAAAGTAACCGCGCTGGGTCAGAAAACTGTCAATCAATAGTACATGATAAATAATAAATTGAAAATTTCTATAGTGCTTTTTCCAGATGTGATCAAAAGCGCTTTACAAAAATTTCATATAAAATTAAATACAATATTGAATGGAGAAAAAGTAAAAAATAAAATTTAAAGAGATTCGTTAAAAAGAAAGGTCTTGATTGATATCTTAAAACTATCTTAGGAAGCAAAATTTCTAATATCAGCAGGCAGTTTGTTCCAAAGCGCAGGGGCAGCAGCAGAAAAGGAGCGAGCACCAAGTGTAGGCAGCATTTACGGTGTAGGAGGTAGCAGCAGAGTACTAATTGTTTGAGCGGAGACCGTAAGTAGATTTGGGTTTGACAGTTATAAGTTCACCGATGTAGGGAGGAGAGAGACCGTGAATAGCCTTGAAAGCGAGAAGCAGGATCTTGAATTGAATTCACTTTAAAACAGGTAGTCAGTGAAGTTGTCGCAGTGCAGGAGTTATATGGCAGAATTTACTAAAGTCAAGAGCAGTGCGAGCAGCTGCGTTCTGTACACTCTGTAATTTTGAAATTTGACACTGCCGGAGGCCATACATGAGACTATTGCAGTAGTCCAGCCGACTTGTGACAAACGTATGGATAAGAGTTACTAGACAGTCTTGTGTCAGGTATTTTCCGATCCTTCTGAGGTTATGCAGATCCAGAACTGCATACTTATACCAATATTTCGGAAGGCACGGCCTTCCTTCTTCAGGGTCTTAAATGCATACAATGATAAGGTTAAGCTAAGACGCTACAATTTGAAATAAAGAATAGCGTGCAGTATGATACTGTGCAGTATGATACACGTAAAAAGTTAAATAAGAAAAAAGTGAACATTAAAAGTCTATGAAAACAAAAACCGCTGAAGAAGTGATATGAAAGGAATTTGAGATGTAAAAATAGTATAAATATGAATGATTACGAACGGAAGAAATAAGAAATGTTAGATTACATTTCATCAAGAGAGGATTTATGCCTCTCTAGCTTTTCGTACACTGTTTCCATCAGATTTAATGAGTTCTAGTGGAGTAAGTGTGATGTCGTTAGCAGAGTGATCATTAGTAAGAAAGTGTTCTGACACTGTGGTGGGTTTGGAAATATTAGATTGGTTGTCAACTGGTCTGAAGTGTTCGTTGAAACGGTCTTTGAGTCGTAGCTTGGTTTCACCTATGTATTATTTGGAGCAGTGGTTGCATTGTATCATGTAAATGACGTTTTTTGAGTTACGCTTGATGTGATGAGCGATAGGCCTGGTTTCGCCTGTAGAGTGGAATGTAAATGAAGTTTGTCCGCGAGATATGCATTTGCAAGTAAGACAGTTTTTTCCGCATGAGTATGAGCCCCGGGGCTGGTTGTGTTGAGTGGGATTGCGAAGTTTGGCCCTAACTAGAAAATCACTGAGGTTATTACAACGTCTATAAGCTACAATGGGTGCAGCTTTAAAGACGTTATAGCAACGGGGAGATGAAATAAGGATGCGAAAATGTTTGCGAATAATGGACGAGATGAAACGAAGGGCTGTGTTGTAGGTGATAACGAAGGGAACACGTTCTGGTTTGTCCAGTGTGGCGTAATTGCTTCTGTCCTTGTGATATCGTAACTCGTTGTATTTCCTGTGAAGGAAATACCGATTATAGCCACGTTTGTAAAGATAGTCAATAAGTTGATTGGTGCGGAGTATGAAGGTCTCGTTGTTAGTACAAATGAGGCGGAGTCTGAGAGCTAGACTGAAAGGAATAGCACATTTGGTATGTACGGGATGACATGACGAATGTAATAAGTCTTGGTGTTTGTCGGTAGGTTTGGGATATTTAGAATTTTTTTCGCAATATTTATGGTGTGGCAGAGGGGGGGGGGGGGGGGGGGGAATAGAGGGAAATTATCAGGAATTCCGGAAAACATATTGGTGTCTAATCTTTCTTTAAACTGCCTTCCACCTTTTTCCGTAAAAGATAATTGGGAAAGAAAAACAATAACATTAACAGTTTTACACAAAAGAGTTGTTTGGGCCCCAGTTATATTTTTCGCAATATTTATGGTGTGGCAGAGGGGGGGGGGGGTGGGGAATATAGGGAAAATATCAGGAATTTCCGAAAACATATTGGTGTCTGATCTTCCTTTCAACATCGTATCATCTGTTTCCTGAAAAGAATATCGTGAGACAAAAGCAATTACATTAACAATTTTGGCACAACGAGCTGATTTGCGCCCAATGATTGTTTCTCATCAAATGGTAATGCCGTCGATCTAAGTTCAAGTCCCGCTTTCAGGTAGTCTTCGGTGATGCTAAGTTTATTTGCCCTCTGTGCTGGCATTTTAGCAGTGGGGTTCACTGATTGTTTAACTCCTTATCTATGAAAAACTCTCTTACATGGCATGATGGCATGTATTTTTTTTTAAATTTTTCCTGTGTATAATTTGGCTGTGAATGTTTGGGCCGAGTCGCTTACAATGATCCTGTTATCGTTCGATAAAATGCTAGGAGAGATATCCCATTTGGAGAAACATTTTTCCCAACATTTTGTTTTGCGCAATAATGTCTGAAAATAGAGCTAGCCATCATCTTCCATTATGTCTGCGTGAAGTGACAAAACGCAATGTAGTGTTAAAAACAAAAATTGAAATTTCCCTCGTGTTTCATGTCTTTCAGTTTCAGACAGGAGATAAAATCACCACCATCGATATATCTTCTTGTGGCATTGTGCCTTCCTATTCCTGTTGTGCGCAACATTCATTTGAGGTATGTACCAAGCGATTTTTTATCTCTTAGTTATTTGACCTCTTGGAGGGGGGACGGGGGTACAGAAGGGTGAATCCCCCTCCTCCCTAAACTTGGTTTAAAAATTGGCGAAGGGCAAAACACGACTCCTGCAGTGAGTCGTAAAGGAAGTTATCTGACCCTAATAAATTCGCCTCTACACCATACCCAACGAAGAGGGCGTAACCACGTTATGTCACGCATGAAGATTTTCACTGCGAGAAAGCCCCTATATACCTACCAAGTATCTAAGAAAGATACTCTTTCTTATATTAACAGAAAACTCGCTCCAATTTTGTGGTAGCAACTACCTACAGACCCATGGAACAGCCATGGAAACACGGATGGCTGTTGCTTTCGCTAACATCGTCATGGCCAGAATAGAAAACCAAAAATTGAGACAGAAATGTATTGAAACGTACAATGGGTACCAGGGGATTTTTCTTGCGTGCAGTAGGATGCTTCGATGTCGCAGGCCGACAGATCTTCGGCCGAAGGCCGAAGTCGCGAGCGGCGAAGCCGCAAAAAAACTATAAAAACTTTACCGAAACCGAAAACCTCCCATAAAGAAAGACTCAGATACCCGCCCAGGTAAACCGCTGTTTTGGAAAAGATATATTGAAGATGTGTTTTCCTCATAGACAAGTCTAGACAAAATAGAGAGCATCGTGGAAAAAAATACTATACTATACTATACTATAAAGTTCAAGGCTGAGATGTCAGAAGCAGAGATCACTTCCTTGGACGCAAAAGGGCACAAAGGGGTTAGATTCAACAAGAAATAAATCCTAAAGGTGCAAACACATTACAGTCGTTACAAACTAACAGAAACCTTTTAGTACACGAACTTCTACTCGTGTCACCCACCAGGCGTGAAGAAAGGCTTCATTAAAGGAGAAGCGCTCAGGCTTTTAAGGACTAATGAGAAAACAACCAGCTACGCGAAATCTTTAAAGAGCCTCCACTCATATCATATCGCAAGGAAAAATTAAACCCGGGCAAAAGTATTTTCAAAATCCGCCGATCCGATCGCCTATTCACTCCCCTCGAAAGGACGTATTAGTTAGAGCGAAGCTCTGAACAGTCACTTAATAGTATCTCATAGTATACTGATATGTTTTTCCCCTTTAATTATGTAAATCCATTGTATATGTTATTTTTAAGATGGATAAATAAAGCTTATTGTTATTAGATAACTTCCTCAACGACCAGCTGAGTCGAAGGTGTCGTGTGTTGCCTAGTTGCCAATTTTTAAACCCGGTAGTCTGAGATGTGTCAAAGTTTGATTCCATGCTTTCGCGGTAAGTCTACCAAGGGAGTCTCAGGAGACCCAAGGGGATCGAGGTGTACGTCAAATTCCCCGTTTCCCCTTCCCTTTTCATTACGCAAGTTAAAAAAAAAGCACAAAAATTATCTTGTCGTTGATATCTCCCTACGCCCAACTTTTCATTTTCGCGCCGATTTCTCCATCCTCCCTACTTTTTCGGGCCATTTCTTCTTCCTCCTGTTCTGTTCCTCTCTCTTCTTCATGTAGCTCAGTTAAATCGCGCAACCGAAGGCTATCACTTTCACAAATCGTCGAGTTATTGAGCAAGGAGTTTTCAGGTTGTTTGTCTAAAGATCTTCATTCATTGATTCTGAAAATTATTCCTTTGTTGTAATTTACTTGGCTGATCGTCGCTGATTTCGAATTTTCTTGGAAAAATTTATCAACATGTCATCCTCTTTCCCCTGGTAACGAGGTTGTCCGGCGATACATCCTGGTCTATGTATAACAGGTGAACAGAAGTTGGAAGTATTTAAGAAGGCAGTAATGATGTCTTAGCGTCATTAACGCGATATTACAGTAACATTGTAAAACAACCAGAAATGCGTAAAATGTCATAATTAAAGTTCGACTGATATTTTTATGAAAATGACATTCATGTTACCCAAAGAACGTTTCGGTAACACTCACATTAAACTCCACCCAGTTTCAGCTGTTTCAGCAACTCCGGCATAGGCATCGCCTGTTTCAGACAAATGACGTCCGAAACTGAAAAACAGTGCCGGCTTTCCGGAACAGCTGATCTTTCGCCTTCAATACTGGGGCCTTAAGGCTTCGAAAATTTCGCTATCTCTAGTTTTCTTATAATCATTGATCCAAGGTTTTTCGATTTGCCGCCCTTTTGTTGCAGATCTTAGATGAATTTCCTAACGCAGAAAACCAAACAGGATAATTAATTGTCTAAAACAGCCAAATTGTGAGAGAAAATAATCTTTACTCTGCCAACTTCCTCTTTACTTAAATAAGTACTAATTAATATGTAGTTTTCAATATATTGTTTGTGTATCCATTTGTCTGTGAACCTTATCTACTTACCTTTTTTGCCTCGATTTCATGGCCCTCGAATCGAGGCCCTTTTGGTCGCAGCCAATCGAAAGTAAACTCTTTATCCTCTAGAACACTCGACCACGTACGTCGATAAAGGGCGCTGTGAAAAACTTAAGGCGGAGAAATCCTTTTTCGTGTAGAAAGCCTGGTTTTCGCAAGGGAAGTAAAGGTAAAAAAAAATTCTCCTGAATTGAAGAGATACGATTCTTGGAATATCTGGGGCAATTCCTGGAACGCTACGCACGCTACGGTACATAAATTTGGGGTTTTAGCCAAATTTGTATTCAGCCAGGCTTTGTTGTATTTATTTAAGTTAATTGATAAATTGCTTTAGTTATTAAGAGCTTTTCTAGAACGTGCATGTAACGCACAGTTCTTGGCACTGTTAATAGCAAATATCACTGAAAAATGGAAAGAAATTGCAACTGATTCAAACCGCTTGAAATGTCACGCTTTACTCGCAGCACTTCACCTTAGCTTCCACTGGAAACTACTAGTTTGCCAGCGCTCGTCCTCTTAAAAAATACTCCGCCGAAGACAGAAAAAGAGCGGCCGAAAATTAAGTTTATTTTTACAAGTTTACAGATGAGTTTTTAGATTTGAAGATGATCCCTACAGAATAGTCAATATCATGAAATATGTCAGATATATATCTCGAAAGTAGTTATTAATCCATTTAGAGATTTGGATTTAGTGTGCGGAAATTTCTGCTTTGTGAAGGTGTGCTCCTTAATTTCTCTAGAATTTTATTCCAATAAATGTTGTTTTGGGAAAGGTTTGAACCCAGGAGTCATTTCAAAGGTAGGTTGAGTTTGAGTCGTCCGGGTGAACGTAGTCCTGAATAGGACTGTTGTTGTTGACAGTGATTGACGTTTCAACAACCTGTGCGGTATTCATCTTCAGAGTTAAAGTGAGTTGTATCACGTCAGTTGATGGCATTATACTCGAGTTATTGATCTGATTGGTCAATTATGTCGCGATGTTATTGGTCGTCTGTCATGATCAGTTAAGCCGTGATGTTATTGGCTATGAAGACTCGTAATCAGTAATTGGTGCGTTTCGATCCGTCTACTGTCACAGTTAAACAGTCGCCTATTGTTAGTCAAATTGTCAGTTCTCTAGTCGTTCTCTCGTAGTTAGTTTTGCTTGATCTCGTCAATAAGTCGTTTGCACGGCGCTGGTAACTGTTGGCTACGATTCAGTGGCGTTTGTTCTAAGTTAGTAAACCAGCTTTCTAAAGTAAGACGTTGATAGTAGTCTGTAGAATACGCTAAACATGTCACAGAGTCCCAGTCAATTTGATGTTTCGTCTGTAAATGGTGCTCAGCAATGTGATTGTTGACGTCAACATTCCTCGTCGCTCGTTTGTGTTCGGTCAGTCGCGTGCTTAGGTTTCTGCCGTTTTCAGACTTATAACAAAACCCGCTTAATACAGATACCCCGTTAATACGGACACTTTCTATGGTGCCCTAAGTGTCCGTATAGAGAGTTTTCACTCTCGTAGCCAGCATCTATGCAAATTTGTTGGAACAAAAGGAGGCGTTTGTATAAGAAAAGAGTTCAACTCCCACAGGATTTGTGTGGGACACCAACATGGCCGCCGTTACATTGTTTTGGGACACCAATATGGCCGCCGTTACATTGTTTTGGGACACCAATATGGCCGCCGTTACATTGTTTTGGGACACCAACATGGCCGCCGTTACATTGTTTTGGGACACCAACATGGCCGCCGTTACATTGTTTTGGGACACCAATATGGCCGCCGTTACATTGTTTTGGGACACCAACATGGCCGCCGTTACATTGTTTTGGGACACCGATATGGCCGCCGTGACGTCATGTGAAAAAACACTCTATTAACGCCCGGAGTAGTCAATCGATGATTATCGGTATCGATTTGTCAATCGATGAATCAATAAAAATCGGTAAATCTGATTTGATTGATATCGATTGTATCGACCAATCGGTAGAAAAAGATGACACACTCGATTTATCTTGATTTTTACCGACTTCATCAATTTGTATCGCAAGATATATATCAGGGGCACCCAACGTCAATTTTCGGAAAATATCTGTTCGGAAGACGATTTGAGATCTAGAATTTTCGGAACATTTGTTGTAAATTTCTTGCTTGCCTGCCTCTCCTAGGATTTTCGAACATCTAAAAAAGGGTATAATTGCCCATTTTTAACGGATTTTTACCCTAAAAGGATCACCTAGAATTTTCGGGAACCTTTTTACTGGCTGAAATTTTCGAAAAGGTAAGTTTCGATCCCTATAATTTTCGGATCACTAGACTTTCAGCTAGGAAATCCGAACAGATGAAAAATTTTTAGGGGATAAAAACATGCCTATATCTATCGTTTAAATACTAAAATACGTTTAACAATGCTATGTTTAAGTGGTTTTGAACTACATTCTCGTTGGGTGCCCCTGATATATGTTTCATCAAAAAATGAAAACTGAATTCATCCAACCAGTGAATAAGCTTTTCTATAAAACCAGGTTTAAAATCTTCTGATGGCTGATATTGGCCACTGAGGTTTGTAAGCGCCCAGTTTTTCATGATTTAGACCTCCCACCCTTTCAAAATAACGTTGGGGTAGTTCCGGGTGTAGTTACATCCCGGAATAGTCAATAGATGTTAAATCGACATCAATAAAAATCGTTAGTAATCAAGTGATTTTTATCGATTCGATTGATAACGGAAAACGGTGAAAATCTACTTAGAGAAGTCTTTAAGCCTGAATTTCAGACATTCCTTCTGCTCGAGGGGATGTCTGAAATTCATGCTAGGAAATCCCTTTTATCTAAGGTTGTATTTCTGGTGACATTTGCCTGCAAAAACTAAATGTAATCAGCTGTGTAATTAACCGAACCGTTTTGTTTTTGATATTATGTACAAAATAAAGGGCTTCAGAGAGAAACGTGTGTGTAATTCTTTGCACATTGCTCATTTTTATGTTTGTTGATCAGATGTTACTCAACTGCACTATCTAACTTATAACTTCCGTTATAAATCGTTAAAATCATATAAAATGGATAAAATCGTCGATTTGACTCAGCAATTTAGTTGATCGATTTTTACCCATTACTGTTATTAATCGATAAAAAACACTTGATTGCTACCGATTTTATGGATACCGATTTTTATCCATTGACTACTCCGGGATTAACGGGGTTTGACTAGGCCTTGGCGGATTGTGCTCCTAAAAGTGGCATATTATACTGCTAGCAGTGATGAAATTTTGCCAAATTATGCCAAAATTATGCCAGAATTCCCAAATTATGCTCCAGATTTCCGAAATTATGCTCACAAAATGACGTAGATTCTGTATATATAGGCGCGCAATAAATAACGACACCAAATTATGATGTTTTTCAAATAAACTGTTGTTGTAAATTTATTTGTGTTTTATGGCAGTTTGTCTCGGCCCTCAACTGTCCGAATTAGCTGCTCGCATCTCTGAACCGTTTGTAAAATGCCTTCAACGACTTAACGATCACACTTGCATATACTGACTGAACCAAAAGAATATAGTACTCTCTTGATTTAGACTAACTCAAACTATAGCGAACTATAACGTTGAAAGTATCAAGCCACGAAGTAAATCAACTTGTCTTGACAGTCCTGAGTTCTTTCAGCACCTATAATTGCTTGAATAAACATGTATAATAATAGTATACACAAGTCAACAGCAGCGCTTATTGTACTGCAACATGGAGATAGTCTGCCATAGCGCTGTCCTGCTGATCGCTGGAATGCCGCTGAGAGTAGGGAGAAGGCTCGCTCAGCTGCAGCAGACTGGAAGGCTGCACCAATAGAACCTGCTTCACTGCGGCTGATTTAATTTATTTCTGTAGAAAATACACCATATTTACTAAATTTTATGCATTTGTGCTCCAAAAAGTGCTAAAATTTGCTAATTATGAAGTGGCAGTGCTTGTTTAAAAAATTATGCTCTTTTGCTCCAATTATGCCAAAAATTATGCTAGCACAATCCGCCAAGGCCTAGGTTTGACTGTATTTCAAAATTATCATATCATAGCTAATTTGTAACCTTAGAAGTTAGTGATTCAAATATCTCTAAACAGTTTACCTGTATATTCACCACGTAAAGGTAAGTGTCCTATGTCCTATGGCCTATGTTGCACCGCGTCTTAGCGTCTTTTGCAGCCAACGTCACTAATTTAATTAACGGAAATGCTTCGTGCAAAATTCTATTTACCAGGCATCAACCGCCGCATTTACATGGAAATAAATTACAAACGTCGTAAATTGGCCTTCATGCTCAAGAAAGAGTATTCTTTTTAGAGAACTGATTCTCCAATCTCAGGGGAAGAACGAGGAGCATTGAAAAACACTCCAAGAAGGAAACATCGTTGATAAGATTAAAGCACAGCAACACAAAAAAGATGCCAAACCGTCGAAAAACTTCAAACAATATGATGGTAGACAAGATTGCCTGGTGAGCAGCGAAGATGCAGAACGACGCGATTGAAGACAGGACCCTTCCCATTGTAGCGGTCATTGATAAATCCGAAAAATACAAAGTCCACGTGAGAACCGCCCTTTCTAAAGATGTCTTAGATGGGGTCAACGATCTTCTAAGTTGGGATTTTCTTGGAGGGCTTAAAAGCCTTATCAGCGTGGCTCTCAACGGGTTTTTGGGCAACTCTTCAACTGGCGAAACCGAAAAGAACGATTCTTATGTCATTCTTCGCTAACAACAGCCTTCTGTGGCTCAGGTGAATTCTTACCCGCCCCCCACCCCCCCCCCCCCCTCCTTAACGCCTGCTACGCATTCATCGGGTGTTATTGACCTTTCGACTACCCGCGGATAGAGTACTAAAGTGATGACGTCATAAAAATGAAATTTCTGAAATTATGGGATTTGTCAGGATATTCTGAAAGAGTAATGTCCAAAAGGCCTTCTTGCCAAAAATGAGCATTTCGCAGCAAATTGTCTCTGAGATCGTAGCCCAGTTATACTCAGAAAACTCCATACAAACCCTTCTAATTTTTTTTTGGGTCGACCCAAAAAAAATTTAGAAGGGTTTGTATGGAGTTTTGTAAGCATAACTGGGCTACGATCTCAGAGACAATTTGCCCCCAAATGCTCATTTTTGGCAAGTAGGCCTCTTGGACATTGTTCTTTCAGAATATCCTGACAAATCCCATAATTTCAGAAATTTCATTTTTATGACGTCACACTTTAGTACTCTATACCCGCACTATAGAATGTTTTCAAATGACGTCACGGCGGCCATATTGGTGTCCCAGAACAATGAAACGGCGGCCATGTTGGTGTCCCAAACCAATCCTCTGGGGGTTGAACTCTTTTCTCATGCAAACGCTTTCTTTTGTTCCAATAAATTTGCATAGATGCTGGCCACGTGAGTGAAAACACTCTATAAATAAACGAGGCGGCAGATTAAGTTCAGGCCGGCCACGTGACCAGCCTCAGATCTCAAAGCAAGACAGAGAACCCTCGAACGAGATGAGTCATGCAAAAATTAGTCTTCTGTAGTGGCGTCGAAGCCACGTTTTAGGATTGTTGTGCAAGCCCGTAGAAGTGTGGATGTAAAAGGTAATAAGTAGTTGTTAATGCGTGTATAAAGAAGGGAGAAAGAGTACTAAGCAGGCTAGGGAAGGTTGGAAAAATCTTTTTAGCTTTATTGTAGTCAGCTATTTCATGGTATAGAATTCCAAATTCAAACAAGTCAAATTGTCTATATTAGATCTCTCTACTGACTAGAAGTTAATTTAGAACAAGCTTACTTCCTATCTGAATGCTCAAGAGAAACTATATCCATTGTGAGCGCCTAAAAACGTCAGGAGCGAGCAAAGATGAGATTTTCGCAAAGATACGAAAATTGTAGTTTACAATGTTTGAGGCTTCCATTTTAAATTAAGCTGAAATTGTCGAACATAATGTTTCCTGTAAAAATGTTATTATTCTCTAGTAACCTTGGAACAAAGACTATTTGGATAATCAAAACGAATACTTTTGTGTTAAAATAAGAAGTTACGAGAAGATATTTGAGTTGTGACCACGGCAGGATTAGCTCAGTCGGTAGAGCGCTTGACTGCAGAGTGGAAAGATTCTTGGGGCCGGATCTTGAAATTACTGAAAAAAAATTACTGAGAAATGAAGGTACTCCATTTGCACTGCAAGCTGCTAGAGCTTCGTTTGACTCGGATGACCAAGTAAAATGGCGGTCCTGTCTCCAGTAAAAGATGTAATAACAGTGTCCTAAAATAGTACTTTGGTGCTAAATTCATTGACATTCAAGTAAAGGGCATTTGTTTCGTTCAGATTATGAGGCTCAATACGAATGACTGCATCTCAGACAAAAATACTAATTCCCACTCTGTAATAACATGCTTTGCAGGTTTTAAGTTTTGCAATTTTCAAAGTTCCCGCGAAAATTATTTTGATCTTTGGACTGGGACTCCAAAATAGACCTTTTCACCATTTTTTCAACTTTTTATATGGACCAGTCAGGAAAAATCCGTCGACACCACTAGAAAGAGCGCCTTAATATTAGTAAAATTCCCAACTTTGAAAGCGATACGTCTTTAGCAAGCAAAGATATAGCTCTGTAAAGTCCCAAAATTTTACAGACGCGTTTGTAAAATTTCGTGACTTTGAGATGGTGTATCGATCTTAGGTTTCAACAAATCACTTTCAAACTTGGCAATCTTACTAATTTTGAGGCGCTCTTTTCAGTGGTGTCAATGGATTTTTCTGAAATTGTCCATGTCAAAAGTTTAAAAAAACCCGTGAAAAGGTGTATTCAAGATGTAAATATGATGCAATAATGAAGAAGGCCACAATTACTGAGATCAGCCTAGTTTTTCTACATTTTGATGTTGGAAATGTGTTTCATATCATTTATTAGCAAACTTGTTGTATAAAACTTTGTAAATATTAACCTGCTGTAGGAAAAATCCAGTCTTGATCATTTGCAAAAATAGCTTCAGCCAGGGTATTTAGTTTGACCCTAAAGAATTAAGCACCAAGTAAGCATGAGCTTAGATTAATATCTTGACAATTTTATGGTCAACAGCATTTCCATGGTCTACTGGTCAACTGTATACATTTCAAACAATTTGTCAAGCAGTGAAAACATTTAGATACCTGTATGTAGGAGATCAGTTCACCCTCCAGATGCCCATTGTAGCGATGGCCGTGCATCAACTTACTATTTCATTGCAGTTTCTGTGCCAATGCCATGGACTAAAGTTGACTTCTTTAAGACTATACTAAAGTCAGACATAATTTGTGCCTCACACACTCCATATTTCTTTCACTTCAGATAATTATACGGATTCAGTGTACCAGTACCTACACGTGATTGAAATCAGTCATGTGATTCTATAGCATGCCCATGCATGTGGCAGTCACGAAGTAGTAGTCTTGAAATAAATGGATAAAGCTAGAATGTTTATTGGTTAAAAACTGCGGTTGAACAGTGAACAATCACTCTAAAAAAAACATAGTTTTAATAGGAGACGTTAATAAGAGAATATTTAATCGTGACCATAATGTATGCACTCACTGTAGAAATTCAAGTTGACCTTGTACACCAGATATATCTTATTGGAGATTTTAGAATTTATTAATGTGAAATATTTTTTACAGGCAATTTTTCCTACTTTTGACACTCATGACAACAGTCACAATTCCATTAACTACATAATGAGAAGCATGTGGTAAAATGATATTAAAGATATTTCCTCTTAGTCATTATCTATCGATATTTTTCCTTTGGCGAGCCCCCAATGGGCTTTGTGGATATTGAAAGTACAACAGTTAATCTCCCCAAGCTTTGTCATGACCTGAAAAGGGAAATTTTAACCATGTTTGAGGCTAATATGGAATGTGCTTGGTAATCATTTTTCAAAACCATGAACAATAAGTTGTTGTCGTGACCCCCCAGAATGTCCTAAAAGGATTTTGATGTTTCCTTTGACAAATCCTATTTACATACATATACATTATTTTTTTCATGTCTTGCTTCAGTCATCCTTTCATAGAAGCAATTTTACATGGTAACTACACTCAGCCAGATGGCTATAGTTTACAGATATCCCATGGGTAAAATTACGGGAAAATTGAAATTCAAAATTTAGCAGTTGAATTAAATACTAACTGTTGCTCTTGACAAGAATTCTTAAGAGGATTGTTGTAAATTTTAATCATTGAAATCAGACAGTTGGTATTTTGCATGTCATTAAAATTGCATGGGTATTGTGCTTTCTATATGAATTTAACAAACAAATGTCATTCAAATTAACAGCCATACATTTCCTTTGAGGTGTTTGAAATATTTTACCTTTTTGAATCTTTGTTTTAAACTTTATGTTCCTGTTTTGAACTCATTTTTTGCACATTACCATACCCCAAAAACCAAAGGAACTAGAATATTATAATTTAAACCAAAGGTAATTACACATAATACTTGAACCACAACATTTGCAAAACAATTAATCATCCAAGAATGTGCATGACTGAATGTCTGGCAAGATGCCACAGCCTTCATTCAATGGCTTTATTTATCCGCATGGCTTTACAAAAGCCATATCTGGTACAAAATATCATTTTCATACATTTTGCCTATGCAAACCTCTAAGTTACTACCTAAGAAACAAACGTGTAGAAGATAATGCCCCCAAGGTTTATGCACAACTGCATGAAATGAGTTTCTTCCTTTGTTGGGCTTGCTTAACAAGTTCAATGTACATGTAGCTCAGCTGGGACATAAACAGTATATTTTTCCCGGTCAGGCAGTATCTTCTGTACCACAAGCATGTCATATATGTATCACTTTTACCTGCATATACATGAACTGATCATGTGAAGGTTTCGTGGTTATTAATCATTCTACAGTATGGAAGTTCTGATGAAGAACCAGCTGTTCGTTATCTGGGTTTGTTTTTTAGATTTATGGCTCGTATAGAATGTGTCACATGTATATCAAAAATGCTGGCTTCTAAAGACATAACTTGCAGAAGCCAACTTATTGCCAAGAGATGAAGGTGGTGCACTTACCTTTTACCAGAACGTCATGCGTAATTTCGTGAATGTACTTATATTTTGTCTGCTTTACCTGTTTGACTAGTTTTGAACTGGTTTAACGGAATTTTTTTTTCAACAATAGACCGTGATTATAAGTTAGAACCCAGGCCCTATCTTAACAGTCACATGTTTCCCTTATGCCTCCATGGAGACTTGTTTTCTTACTGAACAGTTTGGTCAGTAAACTGTACTTTGCTCTACTGTGTGTATTTAGATGCAGACGCAATCTGTATATTGTTTTTGTCTGCATTATTCATGTACACCCAGTCTGCCATCTGCAGTCTGCTTTAACTTTTATACCCAGTCTGTAGTTTACGATCTGCATTTTGTACTCATCAAATAGTAATAGTTATACATGTAATGTACGAAATAAAAGAATAATGTTGTGGTCAGTGTTATTTTTTTATGAATCTTTTTGAAAGACAAGGTGTTTACATGTACACTTTTAGCACTTGGTCTTACATAATTTGTCTTGTGAGCTGTCTGTTTTGGTATTAATTATTATTTTTGTTCCTCAGTTGGAATGGCAAAAAGTCATGTGAGATGTGCAGAGTCTAGTCTTTGACCATTGACAGCAAATTTGCTGACTGTTTGTTGACTGCAAGAGCAAAGATGCTGTAGAGCAAGGCAAATTTAAAGAGACATTTTGTCTTCTCTTCAAAAGAGGGACTGATTTTGTGCACGCAATCTTTGCAATAGGGAACGGTTCCATTTTATTTGATTTGTGAGCTTATAGGTACATTTGTAGGTAATCTGTATTTGCATACAAAGTGTGGTAAAAATGTGACTGTAAATCTCTCCCATGATATTCACATTTTAGCAAACTGAGGCACAAGTTTGTCTGTACACATATCCATAAAGTTGCTAGCATTCTTGTTTTGACTGGAAGTACTAGCCGAATATGGTTTAAATGATTCTTGTTATTTTATAAGACGCTTTTAATGTGAAACACAGTAAGTAATTTGGTGCCACTCGGTTCTGTTTATTATTATTTTATTGCAATATTCATATGCAATGTTGTGTGAAAACTAGACATCAACCCTCCAAGTTGCGACCATTTTAGTCGCCATGGCGCCTAAAATTTTGGAACTGGCGACTTGATTTGGAGAATAGTCGCCAAGCTGGCGACCGTGAAGAATAGGTTCGTGTTGTGGCATATAGAAACAGAAATGGTAATCACTTCTACTGAAATATGAAGAACATTTATTCTAGCTGATTTGAATTCCATTATTTTTTTACTTTTCCGTTGAAAAACATGCTAAATTGAAAACTTAAAAAAGTCTCAGAGCTAAGCGTTTTGAAAATGAACATCAATGAAACTTGACTTGCATTCGTTCGCCCAAAAGCCTTCAGTCTGTTGCCTTGCACGTGACATTTTAACTTTTGACATGTGACAGATGGCACGCAATCGAAGCGCCTTGCTTGTTGACAGTGACGATTTCTTCGATATCTTAGGAATGCTTGTCTAGCCAAGTTCGGTGGTTTTTTAACTGGACTACATATTATAAATATTTTTGAATCAATACTGAAACAATCTAATAACATGAAGAGGGAAAGCTAAATTGGTGCAAATTCAACACAGAACATTATGTGATAACCGTAACATGTGAACCGTGCTGCGAGTTGAATCGCGGTTTTGTAAACAAAAGCGATAATTGTAAGCGAAACTAAACATCGCAAAACTGACAGCTTATGGTTGTTGCAAAAAATGTTTTTTTAAACACCTGTAGCGATAATAAAGGAAAGAGAAAATTTATTATTTCGTAGGCGGCATTTTTGTTTGGGTTCCTTTCAATTGATTGGGAAAAAAAAATTTTCCCAGTACAACTCGTTGCGAAATTTTTACGTGTGCCATGTTATCTCTGTAAAGCAATGATTTCATTTAGAAAACTTGTCAATCTTCCTATACTCTCCTGCCTTTGTCAGGCTTTCGCAATGTCTAGCGATGTTAAAAACGACCTTTTAAATCTCCAAAAATATTTGTTAGTTGGGGAAACAAATTCATCATCAACAAAAGTCGCAAAAGAAATGCGAAACAAATATCAGAAAAAAATAGGTCGCCTATCAAGTTGCGACTGGGAAATTTTGAAAACATTAACAGAGGATGAGTTAAGTTCTGCTCTCATATACCAACTGGGGATTATATAGAAGGATTGAAGGCCCTAAAGACAAATGGAAATGGTAATTGTCTTTACAATTCCGTTTCAGTATTGATTCAAGGAGATAAATCTGCAACCCTTATTCTCAGACTATCAGTAACTAATGCCTTGCACAATAAACGAGTAATTTATATGACAGTGCTGCATTTTAAGGTAAACTTGCTAACTGCTTTTGTTAATGACAATTTTGATATATTAAGTCATTAATATAATTTGGCACCTAAAAATTTCCCCTGGCGACTAAACCCAAAGAGCTGATCGCCAAGTGGCCACTGAACAAAAATTTTAACTTTGAGGGTTGGACATGCATGCATGTACCAATATTAGAAAGAAAGGACACTACAGTTGAAACATTCCACAATGGCCACCTTTGGAAATTGAAGAAATATAATATACAGGTGTAACACCGACTTTCTGGATCTAGTGCTGTACAACATTTTTACTTTCAAAAACTGCTCAGCTCTATAATAGCACATTAACATTTCACACAATCCATATACATGTACAGTATATTTCAGTAAAACATAAACAGAATATTATTAGTAGGTTGAGTATGATCGTCCAGGTGAACGCAGTCCTGAATAGGACTGTTGTTGTTTACAGTGACTGAAGTTTTGACAACCTGTACATGATGCAGTAGTCATCTTCAGGGTCAAAGTGAGATGTTAATGTAAGTGGGCTGGCGGTCACAGCATTTGATCTTGTATACAGCTCCCTGTCTGTCCTCTGGTTTGTCTTTGTCGCTGACATTAGTTAGTAAGTAGTCATTATGAAGTGGTTGATCAGTTTGTGCGCCATGTATATTGTAAGGTTGAAGTATACATGTGATAGTACAACTCACTAACTGACTCTGAAGATGACTACTGCATGGGTTATTGAAATGTCAGTCACTGTCAACAACAGCAGTCCTATACTGAACTACAGTGTACGTTCACCAGATAATCATACTCACCCAACTTATGAAATGACTCCTGTGTTCAAACCTTTCACAAAACGTAAACAATGTAATAATTATTCTGAACAAAAAATAATTGTGAACAATTAAGTTACATTGCAGAGTACTTCATTTTTCTTGTTGTTTGCTCAAAGGTGGCTATTGTGGAGAGTTTTTGCAAGTTGTGCATGGTTATTGCTAAAAGGACCTAAAAGGCTGTTTTCGTAAGCATGAAAATTTCATGGTGGCACCTTCATTACAGTTATATCATCTTTTTGATTTGTTATAGCGTGTTTCGGACAATATCTGTTATCCCTGCCGTAGCCAAAAATATGTTTGAAAAAAATTTTTTGGTCATGACTTTATTTTACCACTACCTGAATGAAAATGGTTTATTAAACAACTGTCAATCTGGTGAGTCAATATTGACAGTTGTCTTCTTAATGGTATAATTTTCATTGATTTGAACAAGGCCTTTGACACTATTGACCATGAGATTGTACTATGAAAACTTGCTAAATACGGCGTTGAGCAAGATGCCTTGAAATGGTTCAAATCTTATCTAACTAACCATATGCAAAAATGAGATGCATTGTAGGTAACTGTCTATCTAGGAGGAGCCCTCTTAACTGTGGCATTTCTCAAGGGTCAATAATAGGCCCCTTCGTTTTTTATCTGCATAAATGATCTTCCAAACTGTTTAAATACTGGTTCTCTTGGACGACACTAACATTACCTTTTTTGCACTTAGCATACATGATCTCGAATTAAAGATCAATACTGAATTGAAACATATTGATCTCTGGCTTTAAGCTAATAAGTTAAGTCTCAATGTCACCAAAACAGAAATTATGATTATTAGCTCAATGCAAAAACGACAATCTTTAAATGAGTACACAGTAAACATTACTGTAGATGGCATCCAAGTAAACCAAACAACTTTTAGCAAATCTCGTGGGCTTAATATTGACGATAATCTCTCTTGGAGCACATACATGACATCTCAAACAAGAGTCTCCTCAAGCATTGGTGTGATTAAGCAAGTCAGGCCACTTAATTGTTTTCATGCACACTGCATTTAAAATATACAAAGGTCTTATTAAACCACATTTGATTACTGTAGTGCTGTCTGGGATGGCTTGTTGTAACAGCCGAGTGACAACAGAATGGCACCATCAGAGTTATCACTAAACCAAGCCAAGACACTTATTCCAGACAACTTCTTAACTTGCTTGGTTGGGACAACTTATCAATCAGAAGGGCTAGGTAATTAGCTTACTTAATGTATAAGTGTACTAATAATCTTGCCACAGCTTATATCTGCAATTTGTTTGCTCTGAGAATCTCGAATTACGACCTTTGTGACGCTAAGGGTAAATTGCTACTTCTGAAACCAAGAACTGACTACCTCAAGCATCGCTTTACAAAATGTATAGTTACAGTGGTGCATACTTATGGAACAGTCTTCCCGAGGAATTTGTACACACAGCAAATTCTTTAGATGACTTTAAGAGAAAAATTCACCCGGTTTTCTGATCACTGAGTACAGCTTTCACACGGCAAATTTATGTAAAGTAGACTGTTGATTTATTTAATCAAGTTTCAGATTTACATTTACAATGACAATTAAATCAATCAATCGATCAATCTGAGGTAGGCTTAAAACAGCTAGAATACAAGACTCCTAAAACATAAGCCACCTAACTATTATTACATCGTAAATAGTTCTAGAGAATCAATTAAGTTATAAAATTATCTAAAAAGTTATGTCAAAAAGTATCACTAAAAAATTAAAAATGACATGCGATATGAACACTTATCAATGAAAATTATCATAAATGGACTAATGATTGAATAAAGTACAGTGAAAAATTAGAAAAAATCTACATTAAACTTATACCATTATTAATAAAAGGCCATCAAGTTCTTACAAAAGATTGACAAGGTATTTGACTCTCTTATACTTAGAAGTAATTCATTCTACAGGCAACAGATCTGAACACAAAAAGAATTCTTAAAGACATCAGTTTTGCTGAAAGGGACATCAAGCGTTAAATGATCAGTGTTTCTGAGCAGTTTGATTCAAGAGCGAAACGATACATTTTCGAAGATATTTAACTTAAATAATAATCTTAAAACACTTAAAAAAGAAAATGAAATCATTAATTATAGAGAATTTATAGAGAATTTATTTATTGTCGATTATTATACAGATATTTTAACCGTCTCTAAATAGCTAGAGATTATCATCATCATCATCACTGAGTTTCATTGAAAATCTATGACAGGTTTTACTAGGGATTCATTAAATATTACATATAGGTTTGATTGTATGGAACAAAACAGAACGGGGAATTAAATTTTAGATGAAATTAAAAATCCGCTCAAGACAAGAGTTCCTGCTTACATCCACGGCCACCACCTGTCATTGCCAGGTCCACAACGGCAACATTTTTAGCCCCCTGTAAGCGGTTGGTTAGGTAAAAATTGGGGTTTTGTTACTTTTAGGGGACCATTGCTCTATAGAGGAAAACAAGTAAGTACACAATCAAAATGATGAGTTAAATGCATAAAAAAAAATCATGTCATATTTAACAATTATTCGCCGAAGGCGAAGTTAATATTGTTGAATAATCCCCGAGACGAAGGCGAGGGGATTATTCAACAATATTAACTGAGCCTGAGGTGAATAATTGTTTTAGTATATTCACACGAAGTGATCTCAACAGAATCAGAAAGGAAACCATTAAAAAACCATTAGTTTGATTGACGGGTGAAAATTCATGCGTGAACACGAAGCCGTAAACAGTGGATGCGCAAAAGTTAGATCTTTACAGTATCTTCAAACATGGCAAATGATAGTTTTAATCCTTTTGTATCGAGTTTTGTAAGCTTTAGCATCAACGGTTTAAAAGAAAACGCCGAAAATTTAAATTACTACCCAATTCTGAGAAGAAAAGTATCTAGAGCTTTATTTGTTTCTGTCAACTCACCGTGAATGAGAAAGTTTTCTTCGTCGCTTCTTGCAAATGCTGTCAACAGCGGCTGCGATCAAGGTGAGCGTTGTTTATCTCCAAAGTTCTTTGCCTTGTTAACTTGCTGGCACGTACAATTTTCGAAAATATTTGCCTTCCTCTCTTCTCCATAAATTAACTTCTATTTATAGGCAAAATTGGTCTTGCGAGAAAATCCCGAAATCACAAAACAGTGACAAAGCGACCTCGTTTTCCTCTGTAGTGGTAAACATAGCTTCGAGCGTACAAAAAGTCAGCTAAAGTAAACCACTTCACAATAAATCACGCTGTTTAAACACCATGAAGTCTTTTCTTGCCTTCAAAGTCATCAGCACTTGGATATTCGTGTATTTTCAAAAAGGTTTTACTTTGAAACTTTGGCAAAACACCCAGTTCACGACAGCGATTTTGTTCGGCTTTATATTCACCGCCTAGCGCGGTGAATATAACGTCATAGTCCGAGATAGCTAACCAATCAGATTGCTTGAATTACCAAGCTCACTGAGTGTGTATATACTAATGTCAAATACAAAGAACAGAAAAAGTGCAAATACTGGCCCTTTCTGGGTGCATCGTTTAACCACATAAACATACTACGTTTGGCATATCAACATGAACATTTGTCGTGTAAACTTGTCATTTTGCTCATTTGTTCTGTTAGTTTTTTCTTCCATAAGGCTTACCGATAATTCCTTATTGTTCACTTCAAGTATGAAGTAGGAGAAACATATGGCCACCACCTGACTAATAAGTCAAATTATTTTGTTTTGCAGGCTAATGGCTTCTGCTCCAGTGTTGGTTTCTGCATCTACCAAGGAGGTGACAAATTTTTCTCGCCTTACTCGTCTCCTGGTTGAGGGTGGCACCAAAGCCTTAAGGTGCACTTTTGACAACATTTATCCACCCGCGAAGCTGCATCAAGCTTTAGTATCTAACCGTCTAATACTGCAAAGGCTCCGGAGTAAGAGAATTCTTAGTTCCGCACAATGGAATATGCTGTATCCCACTACTCATTCATCAGGAAAATCAGAAGAATTTGACATCACACTACTGTTGGTGTTGCTTAGGCAAATTTGTGGTCTGCCCCCTCCTGCTAAAGGCTGGAACAACCTTCCAACTGCATTAGACAAAAGTGTTGAGGCTAACATAGCCAGGGTGACGTTCTACACAAACTCATTGTTGAGGCATGCCAGCTGTACGTCTGTCGATGATCCAACATTTGATGCCTTGTGGCTGGAAATCAGCGATGCACTGATAGGACTGGGTGTAGATGCAGACACTATTAATGAGCTAAAGACTGAGAGCATATATCCTGATGTAGAAGAGCATCACCAAAAGCTGTTAAAAGAGTGGAGGAAAGATGAAGATAATATCAAGGACAAACATGATGAGATAGAAGGTATGAATAGTAATGACTGTTGTTAAATATTTACATGTAAATAGGTTAAACATACAGTCATTTAACTCTTGCTGCCATTGGGCTCGGAGCTTGTCAGTAGCCTTAAAATTGGTTCATAACTCTTCGCTGCTTTTCTTGTACATAGCACGATTATATAGTTATCATGGCCTGATAAATTTTTGTTCACTCTGTACTATGCTACATGTGTGCAGTATCTTACCTGAAGCAAAGTTAATCCTTTCTGGATCCCCACTTTCCTGCTATCAACTTTTGTATGCATCTTTTTTTCACTAACCTGGTCAATGGCTAGTGAGAGTATCCCTTCCCCTCCCCCTTGCATTCAATGTTATAGAGTATAACAAGGTTTCTAAAGTGAAGCCTAACTCAAAGTAAAGACCTTGCTTGATCAAGCATATCACCTGCAATCATATTAAAAAATGAAAAAACTATCCAATATTGTTAGATTTTACCTTGTTCACCACACAACATTGTCTGGAGGAGAGGGAGGGGGGCTTCTTTTCCCTTGGGAAGAGTGGAGAGGCTCTTTTGTTGCAGTCTGGTTTTGCATACATTATTTCTGGAAAATAGTGAACAAACCAAAAAGAAATTAATATTATGATGACAATGCCTGTCATCATGTTTTTGTACTACAGGAGAAACCAACTTGTCTAATTTTGTAACTTAGCAACACTTTCAAAATTTTTAGAATTTTTAAGAGTACGTTTTTGCACTGGGGCCTTCACAAGTGGTGTGGAGTGAAACTATGCTAAGTGACTCCGTAGCCCGTCATTAAACTTTTTTCCCTTTTGTTGTGTACTTTTCACACAGTTTGGAGTGGAGAACTACTGAATGTCATAAGAAGCTTCCCCAATGACCTTTGGAATCGTCCATGTGAATGTCAGGGTCTCGGCATAGAAAACATCCCGGATTTTGACATAACAGCCTTACATGATACACTAAAGAAGAATTTTTTATCACTACTACTGTTTGTTAAATGGAATTTTCTAAACCCTTGGAGTGATAGTCAACCAGAATTTGCAGTTCTTACTTGCACTGAGAGTAAGGATTTAAATGTAATAAACTGCCTTGTCATCCAGGGTATTTGTGCTTTTAGTAAAGGAGACAAAAAGATGTTAGAAGAAATACAGGCCATTGCTGTCCAATATAAAACCCATCCTGGTTGTGGATTTTTAATGAATATCCTTGGTGTGATGTTTTGCGAAAAAGTTCTCTATGAAAAGGGTAAAGAGTGTTTTGATATGGCTAAGAGTTACTTTCATAGCCATCAGGACAATCTGAGAGAGGCAGTTGCTACTTTAAACCAAGCAGTTTTGCACAAGACTTTGGGGGATTACAGAATGGCGCAGAGTCTCTCTTTTGAAGCAGCCTCCCTGTGCCATGACATCTTAATGATAACAACAATCAACCGACATCTGCTAGTGAAGGTGCTGGGAAGAGTTACTGATATGCTAGAGGAGTTTGGAAACTATGACAGATTCCACAAGACCCTCCAGACTGGTGTTCAATTTGATTTTGCTGGTACCAGTAAGGCTACTGCAGTTATTTTGATGGAATTAATGAAACTTCAACTCAAGGAAACTAACAAGAACCTTGCAGCTGAGGAGAGCAAAGGTTTTGTTTGCCGTCTGTTTAGATTTTTAGATAATCCTGACACAGAGTTGATGAATGCTGAGGTTATACGAGCATTCATGATTGCAGCAAAGATTCATCGCAAAACTGGTCATGATGATGAAGCCTGCGATTTATTAAAGAAGTTGCAGACAACTTTCCTGCTTGCTCATGGTGGAGAACATTCTCTTTATGGTTCACTACTATACCAAATTGGCTGCTTCTTTATTGACTGTGAAAAGGTTGATGAAGCTTTAGGTGCACTCAAGCAGGCAGAGGAAATTCTAATTCGTTCTTTTGGCAAAGAACACCATTCAGTTGCATCATGTAAAAGCATGTTAGGTTCCTGTTTTTTGCTTAAAAGTAACAGCAAAGAGGCCTTGAGGCACCTAAATGAAGCCCTGGCAACATTTAGGAATTTAAATCCTAATCATCCTGAAGTGGGAGGGATTCTCCTTAAACTTTCATTTATTCATATTAAAGAGGAAAGCTATCAGTGTGCCCAGGATACCGAGGAAGAAGCTCTAAAAATCTTCATCTCAGCTTGTGGTAAAGTATCTCAGAAGACAGCTACGGCATATTTCCAGTCAGCGATGTTCTTGCTGAAAGATAAGGCATTGTGGAGTTTAGCCAAGGAAAGACTGATGACAGCAACTGACATCTTCTTAAGGCTTGGTTTGAAACCTGCTAATTCTTGCATCCTCGCCTGCCACAGTTTGGTTGGTGTCTTGCAGCTCTCCTTGAAGAAAACAGAAGCGGCAGAGAAGTCTCTTCAGAATGTTGAAGTCGACTTGAGCATTGAACGATGGATTAAAACTAGCATCCGTTTGGCATCCTCAGTCGGTTTACTAGTACCATCACCAACAGTTGGTCTGAACAGATCCTTTGGTCTCTGTGCCAAGGTGGTGTCTCTTGTGAATCTGGTGCATATGAAAACTGGTGATGAAAGACTCAAACATCTTGACACACTTGTTGGCTGCTTGGAAAAACACAAAACAGAGGAGCTTCAAGTGTTGGATTTTGCAGGCCAAGCCATATTTTACAACACATGCAAACTGCCTGGCTCTGAAAAATCTGTAGCTGTTTTTTTATCTTTGGGTCCACAGCTTATTTCGTCACAGTCTACTGAGGTACTGAACTCTCACTCGGACTTTGATCAAAATCAATCTGACTTGTTTTTCTCATCTGTAAACAAGAAGCATCATTCCCTGTTTTTGACGATCCCACACAACAATATTCAAGGCGATATTTCTTCCCTGGGTTCTGTCCTCCATAGATGTGTTTTAACTCTTTGTTCCCAAGCATCAGTCAGAAAAGGTTTTGTTGAGGGAATTGATGTCCATAGGAAATTGACATTGCCAATAAATGACATACCTTCCATTTGTAGGTTGGTTGACTGTCTTCCACTTCTTGTTGAACTGGAACTGTCAGAATTAAAAGAACAGCATGGTAACTTTGACTACTTGAATTCTTGGGAATCGTCAGGGAAATCTGTGAAACCATCAGTGCATGTCTCTTACTTCTCCTCTGAATGTTCCCTTCAGCGTGAGGCTGAGTTTGTTTTTTACCATTTGAACCAAAGGTTAGAAGAAAAATTAGTAGTGAACAAGGGCGATGGTGCTGTTACTTGCGATGTTTTCCCTGCATTAGATGGCGCTTCTTTTGTCATTGAAAAGCCTGGCAAATCCTGTGTATCTATTTCTGTAGAAAACAAGTTTGTAATTGTCAAATGCTGCAGCTTCAAGGAGTCAGTTTTAGAGTTTGTTTGCTCGTCAGTGCGGGATGCTCTTAAAAAAGCTGCGGAATCTTTATGCTTCAGAGTGAACTTTAAACAATCTTCATGGTTCCCTGACAGCTACCTTGAAAGGTGTGGTGGTGTAAAAGGATCTGTAAGAAAAATCCACAGCCTGGATGAGTCCTCTCATTTGACTTTTTCATGTGCAGACAGCGGAGACCCAGAATCAGATTTAAAGAGACAACCAATGGTGGATGGGTTACAGGATGAGGTAAGTCGGGTCCTTTTACTTTCAGTGTGTAATTATGATTTGCATATTGCGGGTATGAAGTTCATGCTACTACAGCTAAAATTCCCTCCTCCCTTCCTTGTTGCTCCCCCATAAAAATACAAACTGAATAAATGCCATAAATACTATCCTTAGTCGGTCGACAGAGGAAACAAATATTACCTTTCAGTAAAGGTTACTGATATAATAGTTATTGGTAGACAGAATGATCAACCCCATAAATCGTGATGGGCAATGTAGTTTTGAAGCACGTTATTAATTATTATCAAATCAACATTTTTTCTGGAAATTAGAACAAATGACATGGATGATTCTTTTCCTTTTATTATAGCATGTGGAGATCAAGCCACTTTTTAGACGTCCCTGCAGTAAGTTGCCAACAGACATGGATATTTGTTTGTGCCTTCTGGGGTACCTTTTGAGTCAAGTTAGACTTGAAGCCACTAAGAACGAAGCACTGGAAATTTGTAACTCTCCATCTGAACAGAACTTGGTGCCCGAAAACCAGTCCATATGCCTCGAATCAGATCATTCCATCACATCAAAGAAATCAGTAACTGACAGCTCCTCATCTGTTAAAAGTTCAAAAGAATTGGATCCCCATCTTTCTCTTGATGTAAGTGATTTAGAAGCTGCTAGTAACAGGCCCATGACAAATTGCGAGGAGGGAATTGTGCAAAGCAGTCCTGGACAAGACACAAAGGAACCAGGGCAGTTGATGTCATCCATCACTGAATGTCTTTATGCAGGCAGAGAAGAAGCTGTTACTCCACAAGTTTACAAAAACACACAGTCAAGTGTTGCAGATTCCAGTGTGCTTCTTCTGAACAATCAGACTGATCATTTGGATCAGGGGCAAGGTCCTTGTGAACCTGGTAACGGCATTTCAATACCATCATCAGTTGAGTTACAACTAGAGATAAGACAACTGGAGGAGCAGCTGAAGCAGAGTGAAGAAGAAAAACAGAAACTTAGTGTTGAACTGGGAAAATACCTGTTCCTTGAAGACAAAGGAAAGCGCCATGGAAGGCTTCTTGGTGGAGCAGCTTCATTGCATGACCCAGGTTAGTCAGAGATGTTAAAAAAAACTTATTAGCAAGATTCAAAATGCCGTAAACTGTAGCCAATAAGCCCCATTGCTGTAGGCCCATCTACTCGTAAACAAAAAAAAAAAACACATCCGGCTATATAAACCCCCCACCACCCTTTATCTGGCATTAAAATGAATTCTCTATTTATTATAATGCTTTGAAGCTCAATGAAAAGCAGTACAAAACATACTTTGATCATTTTAAATGCTCTTTTTGGTTTGGTTGTAAGCCCTAGCCCCCCTTTTAGAAGGCCCTCTAAAACTCATTACGAAAAGCCTAGGGCAAGCTGAAGTTTTTGGTAACTAATCTAGAACATGAAACATAGCAGAGTTGCAGGCAATAAGAGGCATTGGATGAGACTGAGGAGGTTGCGAGGAATTGACCAGCCAGGAAGTTCTTTTGTTTTTCTTTTCTTTTTAGTTTCTTTGAAAGTAACCAGAGAAATTCCCCAGTTCCCAGCTCCTTAGTGAGAACCCTGTTTTGATAATAAGAACAGAGCCTTGTGACTTTTGGCTTACAACACCCAAGTTAGGAATATGAAGAATTGAAGATGGAATCCATTAGGAAATTGAGTAATTTTAATTTTCAGTGGACAAAAACCTTGTACCAGAATTATTTCAATCATATTGCATTCTTTTTTACACCTCTTGCAGGTTATAAATGTAATAAGTTATATGAAATAACTCCAAAGAAAAGGTTCTTATGAGAGCCAGAGTAAACAAACTTCACAAGCTTCAAATTTCACAAAATGAAACTTGCGTTTGACGATTTAACCTGTTCTTCTCAATTCCTATGAAATTTGAAATTAATTTATTTTCTCAGGCTCCCATAAGAACCTTTTCTTTCATATAACTTATTACATTTATAGCCCTTGAAAAATGTAAAAAGAAAAGGGTATTGCGTAAAATATTATGGTACAAGGATTTTGCCCACTGAAATGAAAATTACTCAGTTTCCTGATGTATTCTGTCTTAATTCTTTTCAATCATGCATGAAAGCTGAATTTAATTTCAATAATTATTTTATTAACCATTTAAACTTATAAAATCTTTACCTTAAGAGTAATTCTTAATGTACTTCTTGAAAACATTTGCCTTTTTATTGGTAGTTTTGGTTATGAATAGGTGTTTCTTGACCCTCAGATGGGAGAAACACATTTAAAGTTTGTAAATTGTAGTCATCCTGTGACTATTATTTTGGCTTTTTTTATGTAGCCAACAAAGAGCATTAAATTTTGTTAGCTGTTTCTCAGTTGAGTTGCAGATGGCTTACACTGTAACTGACTGAAAACTAATCATAATTATAGCATGTGTAAGATCATCACCTTTTTGTACGCAACTTGAACAGCTACAAAAAGGAAGCAGAAAGAAAAATTCCAGCCAGATGGCTTGATAGCTGAGTGGCAAGAGCACTTCACCAGTATCACAGAGGTCAGGGGGTTGAAGCCTGCATTTTTACACGCTGGGTGTTGTGGCAGCTGTTTAAGGCCAAGTTCTGTGTACTACATACCTGTGATCATCTTTCTACTTATAACACGACTCCTGGGTTCAAACCATGCATTTAATTGCAAATAATGACAAAAAAAAACTAGCAGTAACCAGGGGTTAGGAAGTGCAGGCAAACATGTGCATTTACCTTAGAGATACAATTGATTTTAAGAACCACTTTCATAAAAATGAATAGTACATGCGAATCTAAATAAAAAAGCCCTTTTAGTTCCACTACCAATAGGGGAAATCCCAACAAAATCGTCACATGGAAATTTAATCAAACAACACAGTAAACAAAACACGTGATGGTTACCACTGGGGCATCAGATGGACCTCAAACTAAATACGAGGGTCGGGTTGCAAAAAACATCTTGAGATTAATGGAACCTGTAACTATTGTTTCGAAACAGTAGGTTATTGTTTCAGAACAAAAGCTAAGAGCTCTTTTATCTTAAGAAGCTTTTTTACACAACCCAGCTCAGGACCTTTGTGGCTCACATACGATGCATTTTATTAGTTGGTACAACAAAGACATCCCAAGAATGTGGACAGATTTTGTTAAAACCCCTCTATACAGTTAATAAAGTGCCGCTGACAAGCCCCACCAAGAATGTCTGCACTTTTGCTCGCCCTTGATCATCAATCCCATGGTTTGTGATCTGTTTGGCAAGGGTCATTTTTTATGTTTTTTTTCTTGATTTTTTTAGGTTTTTCCCTGCACTCTAGACTTCTAGAGATCTCTAATTCATTATCATCAAAAGAAGTGAAGAAGATCAAGTTTCTGGTCAAAAGCAAAATCAGTGGTTTTAGGCTTGCACGGATAACAGAGGCCTTTGAATTGTTTGAAGAACTAGAGACAAATGGAGTATTCCCCTGCGATTATATTGCAAACCTGCTTGCGGGGATTCAGCGATATGATCTTGTGAAGAAACTTGGAATACAGTTACCTCTAACAGCTGCAAAACTTGGTATGAGAATTCTTAATAATTTCTTGTTTTTATTATAGCCACAAACTCTAATATTGTTAGAAAGTGAATGTCAAAGCAGTTTGCTTGTATAGACCCTTCCATGTTTTCTTCACTTCTTGACAAGGATCAGTTGGCAAAAGTCTGTTGCCACCTTAAAATCAGTAAAGTCGCCAACTGTTAGAGAGTGATAAGTTGAAAAGAAACATCTATGACTTACAAAATCATAGGGTTTCGTGGACGTTTGATAGGGGAACTTTTTGGAGACTTGGCAAAACAATATCATCTCTCATTTCTGAAATATCACTCTTTGACTTGACAACTCCTTATTTTAGTTTTTTGTGGCATTTATGCGAACAGGTCCTTGTCAAAAGTTATAAAAAAGTGGAAAGGTCTATTTTAAATCAGAACACGGGACTGATCAGGAAATTTGTTTGTAGTGAAGTTGTTGTTTTGGTGGGGATGGGTGTGTCACCCCAGATACAAAGTTGGATATTCAGGCAAAGAAAAGAAGGAAGGGGATGTGTTTCTGGGTCATGAAAGAGGGTGAACTGTTGCAAATCCCCTCCCCTCTCCCCATTCTGTTACATGTAGCATTCACCCTTGGAATTAAAAAGGAGAGAAGACTGGGGAAAGGCACTTGCTAAAGCAGATCTGAATGATTCCAAACCAAATGCAGTCTTCATGAGGATTGAAGCTTGATGGACGGTAATATAGTTGATTCACTGGATAGGGTAGCCTGTCTATCTAATTCTCAAGGACTGTGCTTATAATGGATGTCTGTACTTATTTTTTGACTAGTGTCCTCGATTGCTTATTTTCCTTCAGGGTCAGACATTCTTTCTGGACAGAGCTTGTCAGCGAGAGAAAATAGATTATCTGGCCATGTTGAGAATTCACCCGAACTTACACCTGTTAAAGATTACAGTTTGGGGGTACAACTGAACAGACATGAAGGGAAGTACCTTATAGGAAATGAAGTGTTTACGCGTGTCAATATCAGCGGAGACTCGATGCAATTGCAGGGTTTTGAAGAAAATGATAAATCATTAACAACAGAGAAAGCAGAAATTGAACAGGAGAAGATTTCATCACTTGCATTCAATGAAGGTTCAAGGGAAACCAACATGTACACCGCTGTCTCAAGTGAGAGTGAAAAAAGTAGTAATTCATCCATGAAGAGTGCTATCAGCGCTAAAGAAATGCACCAGTTCCCCACCCTTACTTCAGACGGTTATTTGCCAGATTCTAATGATAGTTCGTTATTATCATCCAGTTTTGAACAAATCCCAGTGGTGGCTGATCCTAGTTGCACCTTGCAGTCCTCAAGTGACACAACTGATGGCTCACCTATTTTGACGACACTTTCTAGTAAGGCTTGTAGAAATAAAGAAATCTCAGGAGACACTGTCCCTAACGTAGCATGCACGAAAGAGCAGACTGAACGATCTTCGAAATTCTACTACGCTGACGTGGAGTGTGATGGCTCTCCAATAGTAGCATCACGCCATTTTTATTCAGCTTTTAAGAACAATGAATGTTTCTTGGCTGGTGGGGACGGAGAGCTTCTTGATAAAGCAACTGAGAAGTCTGAATGGGAAAAAATTGATGAAGAAAAAGAATTTGTTGATTCTTGTGACGGAGCAATAAAAACAGTACATTCTGGCACAAGTGCAGATGCAGGAACAGATTCCTCAGAGAGTTTTGTTGGTGAGATTGTTCGAACTCAGAGCGGTGCAAATGGAGGAAACCAATCATCAACACAATCATCCGCTGCAAGAGATTGGGAGTGTTTTGGTGCCAGACCAAAAAAGGCTCAACGTTCAGATGTTGAACCAAAGCCAACACAACCTGCTCTCTATATAACTGATGGATTAGCTGGTGATTTCTTAGCAAGACACACCCAAGACAAGGCCCTTCATGACAGTATCTATCAAACTGACGTTGATTCTCTCTTCAATGACTTTCCATCACAGGGGACTTCCTTTATTGATGGTGGTATATCTCAATCTAGCAGAGCACAGCCTTACTTTGGGGATTGCCAGGCTACGTCTGGGACAGAGCCATTTGCTGGAACTGGACATTCACTTGTAAGTGGGTCTAACAGACATTCGGTTGGCCCTTCTTATGCAGAACCTTTCAGTGACAACTCAGGACCTTGGCCCAGCCATTTAGGACATGGTTCTTTCTCATTGTATAGTAACTATTTTTCAAGAAATACTTCAGCTGTTGCAAACAACTATTCTCTTCAAAGTGATATGGTACATAGTAGCAGTAGATTTGCAGGAGTTGACCTTTTTGATGGACAGACTTGTTTGGCATCAGCACAGCAAACGCCGTATCTTCCTATGGCAAGTGATCCTGTTTTAAATGGTTATTCAGGAATGACTGGTTCAAGTTTTGCTGACCCTTCATGGCCAGATGCAGCACCAACACTACCTGGGGATCCTGTATATAATGCGCAAAGATTTAGTAGCACTTCGAATAAGCAGCTTTCCGTCCCTGCTCATGATGCAAATAGATTTGCTGGTGATGATGCCTCTTCAGCTTTTACTTGTAATCAGGGCACAGATGAGCCAGCTCAGCAACCAAATTTAGCGCTTGGAAATTCAAGGACAACAACTGGAAACATTGATGATGAAGCAAATTCCTCTGCACGGTATCAGCTTGGAAATTCCACAACGTTTGATGGTGTTTTGGCAGCGAGATCTACTCATGATACATCTGTTTTAGAACCACGTCATGGTGATGCTGACAACAATACAGTTTCTGTGTTAAACAACACAGACTTTGGTACTGATTCAATAGAGGCCTCGGACAACTCATTGCTTGCTCTCGAACGGCGAGTTGCGGAAGCTTGTGCCCTTGTTGAACGCGTTCTTCGGGAGAGGGAGGAACGAGAACAGTTTGGAAGAGAAATAGAAAGAAAGGAACAGTTAATAAGAGAACAGAGAGCTCGAGAAAGGCGGGAGAGAGAAGAGAGAGAATTGCGAGAAGCTGAAAACTGGCCACAACAACAAGAGGCTATCAACGCACGTTCACAGTGGTTATGTGAACATTATCAGCGTCACTGCAGAGTGCGATTCCCTTGTTGCACTCAATTCTATCCATGCCATCGCTGCCACAACATCTCAAAAGCTTGTGACAATGAAGAGGCTAAAGCTTGTCATGCCACTCATCTGAAGTGCTCTCACTGTCAGCATGAACAGGAGGTAACTTTTATTCTAACGTAAACCTAAGATCTGTTTTCAACGTACCTTTTAGTAAGCTGCTCTTGAGAAAGGTATTGCCTATCCTCAGACGTTCCTGAAGCCTTGATGAAGGTCTACCTTAAACTGTGTGAGAGTAAGGGTTACATTAATAACATTGAGGTCTCCCTCATTGAGTGTAAATGGAGAAAGGTTTTTGAATAACTCTCTAACGATTATAGAATGCGTAGACTTGCCCACAAGTTGACTTTTTTGAGCGACCAAAGTAACTAGGAGGTAAAAATAAACTTGAAGAATTTTTCCTCGAATATTTATCACGTTATATTAGGTGTTTGCGTAAGTATAATTACATGTTTAAGATAATAGTGATCAGGAAGCTCATTTGAAATTTGTAAAATGATCAAAATATTCAGGGTATGTTTGGACTAGTAAGCCTGGTTTCCATATTATCTTGATGTAGATCAGCGACCAGTAGGTGTTGCGTTTCAGACATACACTTGGTACCATTTTCCCCCTAAAATAGTGTCAAACAAAAGCGGCATGTTTCAGTCACTCAAATAAATAGGAGCATATTTCTGTGGAGTCTAGATCGTCTCAATTCGTCCGGTGTAAACAATTTCCGATCATATCGCAGATTGCCGTAGACCGTTACAGATTACAATGGCATTTTACTCCCACCATTTACACATTTGGTTATACAATAACAGAGATTTAAATATAGATTTACAGTCAACTCTTTCTTAATGGACATCTCTATATAAGACGGACACTTTCCTAAAATGGACCCCAAAGTTGGTCCCTGCCATTCGTTAGTCAGTTTCTTTGAATCTCTTTAACGTGAACTCTTCTCTAAGATGGATATTAGCACTGGTCGCAACAATGTCTGTGTTAGACAGAGTCGACTGTGTTAACATTAGGGTTAATCACAGGTGGTGCGCATTTTGGCTTCTTGTGTCTCTGAGTAAAGCTCTGTGATGCCACTCCGTGAATCTCTCAGGAAACATCCCTGACCTTTCCATTGCTGCTTAACTTCCTTTGTAGGCAAAAATGTTTAATGACCTTTTTTGTTATAGATTGGCGAAGACAGTGCCAAGTGCCGTAAGTGTGGAGGGAAAATGTCTGCTTATTTCTGTGCCATCTGTAAACATTTTACCAGTGTGGACAAGAATCCCTATCATTGCGAAAAATGTGGAATATGTCGGTGAGTAACAATATTGTATTCTTTTTTGTAAAATAACGTTTTATGAGCGATCCCAAACGTGACATCTTCAAAGTCATTCTCAAAAGCAGCTGTTGTGCAGTTTTAAATTTTGGGTCAGACTGTGGCTTAATTCCCTAGGCGTGGCCACTCACATAAACCTTTTTATCAGTAAGTATTTGGAGTTTAATTTTAAACTCTTACAACAAATCAAAGTTTCCATCAGGGCTCTTATGGGCAACCATGCAGTGATCTCAGCAGATGGTTCCACGGCATGGTTGCCACTGGTCAGGAAATGATCACGGAAAAAAAATTGTTCAAGGTGATGCAAAAGTCATGGAATCTTATTTAGAGTCAGGGAAAATATAACATCACTTTTCAAATACTATTTAAGGCTGAAAGATTAGAAGTATTTGAGGTCACTTTGATCTCAACGTTGGTTTTTTTTAATGAACAAGACGCTCGAGTGCGTGAACTCGGCCTTCTTTTAGTTTACAATTATATAGCGGGAACATGTGCATTATGTAATTATCGCACTACAGTCCGAATGATATTTCAAGGGCATTTTGCCTGCGAAAGCCAATTTGCCGCAAATCGATCACGTGATATTTCGCTTCATCACGCATGCGTTTTAAAGAGCAGACGGTGATTTGTGGACGAAGAAAAAACTAAAAACCAAGGCCAGAACTATACCCGTCTCTTCCTGAAAGGAAGATAGAGTAAAAAGGAAAATGTTATTTTAAAATATATCAGTGGGTGGAAAGGACAGTGGTAAGGGGAAGCTGGAGTCCACAACTGTCACTGCCATATCTTACTATTTGTATTTATTTGGTCAGGGAAATTTTGATCTGGAAAAAGTCAGAGAATTTGAAAAACTGATGTTGGTGGCATCCATGCAGGGAGAGCATGGGTGATGCAGTGGTGAGAGCACTTGATTCCACCAAAGTGGAAGTCACGCCGCATGTTGGTTGAGTTTTTTGTTGGTTCTCTTCCTTGCCCTGAGAGGTTTTTCTTTCAGGGGTACTCCAGTTAAATAACCAACATCTCCAAATTCCAATTTTAAGCAAAATATGGTCCACGAAGAGCCACTTATTCATAAATTTTTTAAATTCTGGGCAGTTTCTGTCGCCCCTAATATCTCGACTGAATGAAGGCTATAGGCACGAGAAGTGAATGGCTTCTTTCTTACTTTTCCCAACCTGTTCTGGTCCTTGTCCTACTAAACCTACGATATTAGCAAACTCTTGCTTTCAATGTCCTATCTATTTCCCCAGTGTGGTCCATTCCACACTGTCCCCAATCAGTTTTGGTCCAAAAATGTGTAACTCACCATGACATAATCCCTTAAGCCCCGTGCAAACGGACGCAACATTGTTGAATGTTACATGTTGCGTCCGTTTGCACACCCTGTTGGATGTTGTTGCGCAAAGTTTGAAACCGGTCAAACTTTTCAGCCACCAACTTCCAACATTTCTTTTGTTCCGTGATCGCCGAAGCGTAGCGCAACAATGTTGGATCCGTTTGCACAGCTCTTCCATCATTGTTGGGGCCACGCTCGCTCATTACGCATGGTTTACAAAGACTTATGGGTTGTATCCCTCCCACAATGCACTGTAGGTCCCAACATTGTTGGGAGTTGTTGCATCCGTTTGCACACCGCTGCCAACACGCACGCAACAACTCCCAAGCCAACAATGTTGGGAGTTGTTGCGTACGTTTGCACGCAGCCTTAAGTTAAAATCACTCACAAACTGATAAAACCTTTTGTTCCTTTTTGTCATGTTTAATTAACTTAAGCGTTATTGTTATTTAAATGATGTTTTTTTTTTACCACCCAGGATTCATCAGGACAAATCATTCCACTGTGAAGTGTGTAATGTGTGTTTGGACAAACGCCTTGAGGGAAATCACAAGTGTCGGCCTGACTCGGGCCACGATGAGTGCTGTATTTGCTTGGAGGTGAGTTTTAAACTCTATTTTCAACTTTTGTGGGGTGACAATTGCAGAACTTTTTTCTCCTGGGTGACTGTAACGTGATCGGTGTGAGGTTTCTCGTAGGGAAAATGGAAATAGCCCTTTACACCATTATTTGTTTATTTATTTTTTTATTTACAAACTTTGCAGCAAGGCCTGGAACACTCACAGAACAAGCTTCATTACGAAGTCCCAAAAAATGCATGTTCTGCGCTCTGTTTTCTATACTTTTCCTATTGCACTAATGGGGAGAATTTGTTTAACAGTCAAGAACGTTTGCTCTGTTTGATTGCCTTTCTTAGTTTTACTGTATGGAGAATTCAAATGTTTGTCACCCTTGGAGCTTGAAGGATTCAACCACCAACTGGGATCAATTTTGGCGTTAATTGTGTCAATAACAAAATTCTCAAATTTGATTGGTTCTCACGTACTCCACTCAGTCGTATTACCATTCCTTATTAAACCTAAAATGATACCATTCTAACACAGATAGCCAAATAAGAGATAAAGTTACTTTAACTGCTATAAAGATGTCATCAGTGGTGTCATGTGTGATCGGTCTTATTACTACCAACACAGTATGGTGAAATTTTTTGATTTCTTCCCACACAGCCCTAAGCGATACCTGCAAAGGGAAATAAATAAAATGTGCAATTTTCAAGGTTTAAACGAGGCGACGAGTATCCCATCCCTTTTACATCCTGGGAGATGATCTATACTGACATTGCTGACTTGAGATCATCAGTCAAAAGTGCAGAATACAGTAGAATTATTTTGCTTTGACACAGATGTTAGCATTTTTAACTATGTCTTCTGTGCCCATCCCACTTGTGCATGATACAATCTTACCTATTTGCGTTGAGAAATATATTTTCCTATCTTCCTTCCATCCAGGGATGGGGCTGGGAACGACTGGGAAGCAGAGTGGAGGCTTGATACTGCCTCCCTCTCTAACTAATTATACTCAAGTTAACTCAAATGATCTACTGGTAGGGCTGCTGTTCTCTGAAAAGACAGTCAAGAATAGGCCTTTTAAGTAGAACATAGCTGTAACAGTACACTGCCGCGTTCTCACTAAGTTTATGTTGCTTGTATAATACCTTCCATAACTTACCGCTTTCTTGTTCATTGTTACGTAGGATGCGTTCAGTGGATGCCAGATATTGCCTTGTTCACACAAGGTTCATCGTGAATGTGCCATTGCCATGATCCAGAATGGCATGTAAGTAATTCCGTCTAATCTTGACATGGCATAGAGCTGTGTGTTGTATTATATGAAGCTGAGAGAGGAGATTCACCATTCTTGTTGTAAGGGTCTTATAACCTATTCAGTTTCATGCACATTGTATTGGCTAGGTGATAGATTGTTTGGCAAGCTAGTTAATCTGATTGGTGTACATGTGAATGTGAATGATTTTTGGATGGGTCGAAGGAGCTTAATAAATATGATGATTTCCTTCAATTTGTCTTTGTGTATGCCAAGTATTTCGTTGCCCTAATTAGCATGACAGGAGTGAAGCAGTACTTTTCTGTGGCACCGTTTTTTGTGTTGCACAAGGAGATTCTCAATTTGGAGTCTGTCCATGGAATCCTAAAGTATGATCACTGAAATCCAGCATTCAAGTAAAGCTACTGAGCAGTACTTACCTGTGGTACTGTTTATTATGCTCTGCAAGGTGGTTCTCCTTAAGGATTTCATCGACAGACTCAAAAGTTAATTATTACCGTTAAAGTGAAAGCTACTGAGTTATACTTTTCAGTGGTACTGTTTGTGGTACAAGGTGGTTCCTGTCATGCAAGAATAGTTTTTGGTCAGATTTATTGTATTGCGCGTCGGAATGGGACCCAGAGTTGAAGATATACACAGAGGCCTCACTTCAGAAATAAAAAACAGTACTTGTACGTGTTGCCTTTGTGTAACGTCGTTGTGGTAGTTCTAACTTTGAAGGCTGTAGATAACATACTAAATTGTGACCATTTAATTACTAAGTAAAGCTGCTGAGCAATACTTTTCCTGTGGTGCAAGATGCATAAGGTGTTTCTTACTGTTGAGTCTGCGTTTTAGTCAGGTGTTGAGCGTCTGGGCATTTATCTTAAATTTAAAATGAAAAAAAAAAGCAGAATGGTTTTTCCTATCCATTGATAATCCTTATTATTATTATTATTATTATTATTATTATTATTATTATTACTATTATTATTATTATTATTATTATTATTATTTTTATTATTATTATTATTATCGCACATTCGGTATTCATGAAATGGTTATTCTTTTTGTTGTAGTCGCACCTGTCCAATTTGTCGGCATCCACTTTACAGTACTACGCCAAGGGAATGAAGAACCGATATATCTCAGTTCTTGAGCATATTATCAGGACACAACCTTAAGTTAAGGTTCAGGTAGGAACCAGCCTGTAGCTCTTCCTCTCTCCTGAGCTGGTTTGTCGGGATTATTTTGACCTTGCGTATGGCTCCCATAAAGAAGAATCGTTGCGCAGTGCGTGAAATCATCGATTATTTGGGGGTAGCGGAAAGCACCAGTTATTCAGGACTAAAGGGAAGAAACAGAAATCAATGAGACTTGCTGATGTTTGTACAAACGTTTATGAAAGACTTTTGTGTGGGCCAAGGATCATTTAACACTGATTAAGAAATACTTAAATCGTTTGACTAGTGGAGATGCAATGCTACAGTCTGAGTCAGTGACTGTTTGTTTCCACACGTTGTTGTTATGATCGTTGCTTCTTTTTTGACGTTGACTTGTTCTTGGTGAAGGCAGATTGCCGAGAAAGTAGACCAGTTTCCCTTTTTTTTTAGCAATGTCCGTGGGTATTCGATGGACATAAAGGAGATTCCCAGTTAATGAGATAAGCACGTTTTGTTCGCATAATTTAACTGACTGGGGAAGCCAGTGAAAATCAAAACAAAAACAAACAAACAAAACAGACCTAAAAATTAGCTCAGAACGGCTTAATTAACAGTTTTGTTTATTTTCTATTGTGACATGGAGTGGGAAAATAATGCAAACAAACGAACAACAAGAGAACGTCCAAGAAATTGTCGAAAAAAGAGATAAGATTTATATATGATATGTCTGTGATAAAGAGACATTTATATTATGTAAAATTATTGAAATTCTTCCTCATCATTTTCTACTTTTTTGTACATTTATTTTGCATATTTTTCATTACGGCTGCGATAGTGAGTGATTTATCAGTTTTTGACGCATTCATTTTGCCTAAATAAAACAACTTCTTCCAACAAGGTGTAATTCCTTTCCTGTACTCTGGCTTTCACCCTTTCTCCAAATAGTGATCAAATTTATTGTTATAAAACGTTGTCCTGTCTTTTTCCCTTCGAGAGAGCACTTTAAGGACCAACTTGCCCGCTCAGGCAGCCAATCGGAACGCGGGATTTGCTTCATTTTGCATTTTCGCAGAGCCAGCTTTAGGGTCATTACAAGAAGTCAGAACTGGCCAGCCGAACCGGTCATGCTGAAAATGAAATATTAGTCGTTTCTCGAAATTTGTGCTTAAACCCATAACTGTCGTACGTACAGTTCAGGAATAAACTGGTCTGGCTGGCCGGCCCTTTAATAGTGGAATTCCCCTTACGACTGGATATGTAAGCATACGCGCGTATACGCGCACCGCTGAATGTAATTTACAGTGTCACTGACGGTGCTAGGATTAAGGATTCGAGTTACAGGACGTCAGGAGCCTATAACACGTATAGGAATGAAACCCCACGTCCGCGCAATGCGCTTCAGATGATTTTCTATTATTAATGAGCTGCTTGTTGCGCCCAACTATGGAATGGGCTTTCTCCGTCGAAAAAGGACAAAAATGACGGACGGCTCACCCAGAAGGTGTTGCTTGTCCCACTTCCTCTTCAGTAGGACCGATTTTTGCGGGAAGGGGATGAGTCATTTTAGGTCGTCTGGCGAACAAATTTCGAAGTCGATTTGGAACGAACACAAAATTATTTCGTGGAATTATTGGCCCTATATCTGCGCCGAATGATTATCCAAATGCAGTATTTGATGATGTTATTAGCCTGTGCGGGAGCTGCAGTAACAATGCCCTCCCACGGTCCCCACGGAAGGAATATACTATTTGTAAATCGCTCCGTCAAATAGAAACATACTCACTTGCCATGGATAGTTAGATGGGCTTTAAATGCAATATCCGACAGAAATAAAACTGAAACTTAATTTGCTTTGCGAGTTTTAAGAAACAAGAATTTACAGTTCGTTGATGGTATTTTACACACCAAAATTGACCCTGTCACGTTTTATAAGCGTTGACCGACAATAATTTTGGAATTTCCGGTTAGATCAAATTAGTCACGTTATATTGTCATGCTATATTTTAGGGGCAGAGAAATTGGGGGGAGGGGCGGGGGTGCGTCGTGGAAGTGTCCCAGTTAAAAATAATGCAAATCGTTTCTTGATTCAAAAGGCCAAGTATAGATATATGTCTCTATCCCATTCCACCGGTTAGGAGTAGCTATACACCAAAGCCGGAAAAAAGTGTACTTATAATCTATACTTCTCAAAGTATAAACCAAGACACCACTGCATTGGGCAGTCGGCAGCCCAATGAACCTCCACTATACGGGTGTTGTTTAATGCTTCTGTAAAGAGCTGATCGGAATCCCATCCAGAATTTTTCCAATTGTGTCTAAATTGATTCCCGTGTTGGAATCAATTGAATCACTGGAAGGAAGCTATCTCAAATGAGGGTCATGATTTTTCGGGCCGATGTTATGGACCAAAATTTGAGGGAAGGCCAACTTTTTTGGGCGCTCATTTTAGACATTTCATTTTTTAAAGACATTTCATTTATTTATTCATTCATTAATTTATTTCTTGTCTTGATAGAAACTTCATTCTCTGATCCCGGATTCCGATTTCAAATTTTGGATTCCGGGTTCCTCCCTTTTCGCTTAAAATTCGATAATTGCGTGTGATTATAAACAAGGTGAGAGCGGCGAGATTTATTTGGGGTTTCCTTCCTCGTTCTGTTCAGTATTATTGGACTTCAAGCATTGGTAAGCATGTTAATTTTTCTTTTATTAGTTATTAGTTTTGGTTGTAGCACTAATTTACTGGGTTGCTGGGACCCTTTTACGGCGTTTCCTACCGGTTATGGCGCCGGTAATAAGCTTAAATGAAATGAAATTACGTGCGCTCTGTAGCGTACAGCGAATGGATTTATTTATCCAACTATAACTTGGGTTCAATAGTAAATAACCTCAGACATAAGCTTATAAGGAACTAATAAGCTATAGGCAGCTCCTGTTCGAGTAGAAACGCTCCTGAAAACAAAGAAAGATCTCTACCTTAGAAAATGACAAACATCGATCAGATGAACTAATTTTAGTAATGACGAAGAGGCAAACCGCGGAGCAAGCAAGCGAGCAGCCCACACGAAAACTAAACTAGACGACGTACAAATTATTTGTTGTTATCATGTCGTTTTCAGCCGGAAGTTTCTCACTGAATTGAAAATCAGTGCGTTTATTAATTTATAGTCACCTCGCTGAACGATCTTGTGGTCTTCATTGTCATGTCGTTTTAAGTTTAGTGAGGCAGGCTGATTTGTCGGATGTGTACTGCTGTATGGACTAGCTGTTGCCCGCGTTGCAAGCGTTGTTTCCCTTCCCCACTCGCTTTAACGGACTCTTGAAGTTCGATTTCACTTGAATATGCCATTGGACAGAGTAACTGTCAATTAACTCTTCTCTTAACTCGACCTAATTTCACTTCCTCCTGTGGGCCAATTTTCAGTCCTTGAGAAAAAGAAATCTCTGTGCATTTTCTTCCTTTTGTGAAGTTTTTGATGTGCCTGTCATCGGCTGTCTGGTGTGGATGCATGGTCGAGGCTGGGGGGCAAATACAACTTAACTAGTATGAGGACTTTTTTGGGGGGGGGCACTCCCTTATATAGCATGGGGATGTGCTGCTGAACATTCTGTGGTTTTTGACCTCTCTGTCCTAAACGTGGTATATATAATTTCATGAGTCCGTCAACAGGATATTGCCAGCACGATTGATATGATTTGCAAAATGGATTTTGTCTGTACCCCAAGCATACAAAAGCAATGACTATGACGTGAATTTGCTTTGTAACAATTGCCAATAAATGGCTTTAAAGCACTACAGTGTTCCTTTTGTCATTTGCCCTAAACGGGGAAATGAAATTGAGGGCATTGTCCTAAACAGGGTATGCATTTTGGGAACTTTTTGTCCTAAACAGGGCCAGGGTTTCAAACTGTCAGCGGCTCACCTTGATACCCAAGTATTGGTAGAGTACCCCAAGGAGGAGGGGGGGGGGGGGTTTGCCAGGCATTTTTACCCTGGAGTTGGAGGAAATGAGGGAGGTTCTATTTCCAAAAGCTGTACACAGAGGGGAAAATGGGACTTGGTAAAGGAAAAAGTCAAGGACATGAAAACCACTGTGTAGGAGAACTTGGGTTCACGTTTCTTCTCGTGAAATTAAATGCAGATTGGATAAGTTGAGGTATTGTTATGGAAATGCCTTTCAATCATGTTATTCCTTATATTTGCTACTCTCAATGCGCCTTGATTTTATGCTGCTCAATATGATCCCCATTTCAAAGAGACAGGGGGGTTGTAACTTTGATAGCTCTGTGTACCTCTATGAATGGAAAATAAAGAACTTTGACAGTAACCTTGGCAAATTCCCCTCCCTTACCTGGGGATCAAGTAATGCGAATTAAACTGGGATCAATATAACGGTCAAACATAACTCTTCTGCTCTCTGTGATAAAACTAAACTTCGTTTTGACATGAAATTAAGCCCGCCCATTTTAAGACCTGCATGGCTATACTAAAATCCATTCCCTTTTTTAGAGTCCTGGATAATTTTTTTTCCGGAGTATCAGTCACAAACATGACATATATATTTATACAGGTATAAATAATTATGTCGTCATCGCTTAGATTAGGTTGACTGCCAACAGAAAAAATTGATTAATAATATTGTTAAAATTTAGTTTGAATGATATATTTCAGTTATATTTACTCTTTCTAAGTTGAAATGACAAATACCATTACATTGTACACACTCTTGTGGGCTCCCTTGATAACATTACCCAATTTCAGACTAGAATGAGCAAAATCCATACCTGTTTTCCAACCTAAATGGCTCAAAAACCAATCCTTTGGCCATGGGCGGCACATACATGGCTCATATAAAAGGGAGTCCTCCCCCTGGGGAAGTGAGGTACAGCACTGGTTCAATATAGGTCGAGTGGCATGACTTTTATTATCTTTAATGTTTCATGGGACTGCATGATATGGTAGTGCGAAGGGTTTTACCTCGTCTTTCAGTTTGATGGTGTTTCCATCTTCTATCAGTCACAGAGGATCACAGATCACAAACTGTGTTTTGTGGTTGTCACTGGTCAGCTGTGAAACCCTGCTATACACATTGTAATAAGGATAAGGGTTTTTTTGGCAACCATGCCTTGAAGGGGCTGTGGTATATGCTTTAATTTTCAACAGAATGATATTTGCTATCAGTGATTGATAAACTTTCTCTTTTAAACCAACTCATTTTTACATTGCTCCAGAAGTTAAGGACTGTACTTGTCTATGGGCTGCAGCTTTGTCTGACAAGTGACTTTGAGAAATAATGCATAATTTCAGAATTACTTTGGCATAAGCACCAATGTCCCGCTTGATTGTTACTGGTTTCTAACTCTGTTAGACTGTGGCTGTATGAAGTTTTTATCCTCTGAAAGACGATGTGAATTAACTTTGAAAATTGGTTGCCTTAAATGCCACCACGGTAATTTGCTGCAGGTGTGCATGCTCTTGTTAATCTCATGATTATTATGGTCATTCTTGATATTAATGTAAGTTGTTTAATATAATTACTATCATTATACATTCATGATTAATTTTGATAATGGCTTTAATTCCTCGTCTATACTTCTTCATAACCAGCTGACACTGACCGAAAATTAATTTGGATGATGTTTGGATAATATTATTCCATCATTGATGCATGCAGTCTGAATGATGTCAAATGATGGAATAATCGCAAAGTATCAAGTATCTTTAATTGACGACTCATGCCAGACCACAGGACATGGATAAAACACTTAAAATGGACATAAACATCCATTATTAAGTGTACATACCTCATAAAGAGTTGAGTCTGTAACTTGTTTTCTGACAGTTTCCGGCCCTATAAATGCCATTTTAGCAATTACTTTTGATGTTTTTAGTTAACTCAGCTGTCTTACTCAGCCTGAAGAAAAAGCTCCAAAATTACCTTTATTCTACTCCAGTCACTCCAAAACTTCACTTGAGTCTAGACTGAAGATTTTCCTTTCTTGAAAATGTCAATTTAGTTCCAAACATCGAGCCATGGCATGATCAAGAGGACGAGAAATGTAGCATTAAAACTAGACGCACATAAACTGCGTAAGCTCAGACTTCACAGTTCCATATAAAAAAGTTCAAATGAGAAAACTTCACCTAAGAAAGTCCTCAAAGGCAACATCAGTCGAAATACAACACTCTGTATGCATAAACACCTGAAAATGATGCTTGCATGACTATCTAGAACATTTTAGATTTACAGTAATTGTATAGTACGTAGAGTTCATAGAAGCAAAGGATAATAAAATCACTGACATCAAAGCAGAGCAAAGAGCAAGAACGTAGTTACACAAATGCTAATTATTTGAAGTACTCAATTCATTTTGTTTCTTCTTCTGCAAAGCAACTAAGCTTAAATATGGAGGCATTTGTAATTAATAATTATCTTCAAAAACCTCTTTTATGAGTTGATCAAAAACACTCTGTTCAAATTCTGTTGGTAGCTAATTAAGGGAACGCGTCCAAATATCGGTAGGCAACCCGATCATGGGAAACGGACCCGATTAATTTTCCGATTGATCGGAATCGGTACCTATCTGTAGGCACTAGTTGCCGTTTCCGATAATGATAAAAACTTTGCCGATTCAATCGGAGCCAGAAACATTCCGATGTGGATAATGGGGTATCACATTCATCTGATAAGGATATGTGACTCTGCAAACATGTCACGAAACCAAATAATGAAAGAGTCATTTCACTCAACAAAACAGTCTTTAAAACTTGCTTTGTTCTCAATAGTAAAATAATTATAACAATACTTCAGTAGATGTTTTTTCGCCTTATAAGTTGGTTCGAAGATGTCTACAAGGCTGTTCGACGATTTGTTTTCTGTCAGCCGATCGGTAATTGCTTACAAACTTTTCCACGCTGTTCTAACAAAATGTAGAGCGAGTCATATTTCGAAACCTCTCATAAAAATTCGTGACTGCCTAGCGGCCAAATACAGTCCAAAGCGGAAATGCCAAGCATAAGCTGTAATAAAATTTATAACTAAGAATAATTCAAGAATATTTTCAACTGAAAACCGACAGAACAATAAGAATATTCAGCGTAGGCCGGTAAAACAACATTCTTATAATAGATTATATATAAAATAAGTGTACTAACTTGCTGTTTATTTACAAAGCTTATTCAAACTTGTAGTTGTCACCTGTATAACTATAACTTGTAAACATTGCTTTCAAGCTAGTTTTGTATTTTGTATTTTGTTTCACTTGCAATTAAAAGTTTATCATAATTCAATTCACTTCTGATGAGCTGAAAATATAGGGAACGGCGTTTTCAAGTTGCTTCTGCCTACGTATCCAATACGTATCGCACGTCGCAAGCCGGATCGTTAAAAGCAGTTTTCTTTCCTTTCTTTAACTCGAGTTAATACATTTTATAGAAAGCTTTGTTTTATCTCGTTTCAGAAAAGAGCGAAAAATTAGTTGTTTCTTTTAAAAAATTCGGAGCGTCAACGGAATGTGCAATCAACGTAACAATGAAAGATCCAGTGAGTTTGACTCGACGAGAGAAGTTTACAAGCAAATAAACAACTTGCCTGATTCTAGCCGGTTCAAGTTCGCTCCTGTACACGCAATGTCATGAATGCCTGATCTGACAGTATTCTGTCCCCTATTTTCTTGGCTAAACGATTTTAAAATTCCTCCAGCAAGGATTCTTCAATCACGCGTTTTGGATTCTAAGGTCGTAAATGCATTCAGCGCGCTATCTTTCGCTTAAAGATGCTCGATACAAAAATTCTTCATCTTGTCTGGTATTGTCTTCCAGAAGAACTCTTCGATGAAGGCATTTGTCGCTAATTTTTTTTGAAACAATACACATTTCAGAAAGACAAGATACAATACGGCGATAAACACTTGGTCTTACCCAGCCTGTTTGTGCATTGAAAACTCAATCATTCACGCTTTGCTTTTGTTGACATAAACATTGCCCTATATAATTTTTGTCAGTAACGTAGCGTGACCGACGATTTCAACCCTTTGACAAACGCTGACAGATGTAAGTCAAGATTTGATGAATTCTGTTAATTGGCCCGATGAAGAATTTTGAACGGTGCCGATTCCGTTTCAATCGGTACCGATAATATCGGTACCGATTGAAAACGGAATCGGAAAAAATCGGCACCCGATTGATCGGCATCGGCGTGACCCGATGCCGATATTTGGACCCGTTCCCTAATACTACTTTGAGAAGGCTTCTTGAAAAGGTACATGTGGAAGAGTTTAATTTGTCAGTAAACTGGTCTCGTAAAGTCCATCGCTAGTTGAACTGAACCGTTCGCTTGCCATCTTTTACTGTAGTATACCTCACCAAGTGTCACACCTGAGGCGTGATTGTCACGCCTGCAGATCGAAAACTTGGATCTCACACCTACTCATGCACACCTGTGTTCCAATTTGTCGTGCCTGGTAGAAAAGTTTGAGCCATTACAGCATTAACTGACACATTTTGAAAAATGTATTGATTATTTAAACAAACCAGAACCAAAGAGAGAAAAGAAAAGTCTATGTGCACGTGGATGATCGACTTTCTCCGAATTCTCTTTTTTCAGTAGGGAAGTCAATGTTCCTTTGTGTTCCTGTGTTTGTGTTAGACGGAACTCTTCGTAACATCTTCAGAAGTCTTCGGAACGTCTTCAGACATCTTCGGATATTATCGGACCCCTACGAAAAATCTTGGCACTCTTAAGATAAAAAATGTCACGCCTATACATGTAAAAAGGTTGGCAGGTATACTGTAGGCCTAGACTGAGATAAACAGTGTGTGCATTTGGTATAAAGATTTTGTGTATTAACAAATGACAGAATTCATTCTTGTGATCACTGAATTTTATACACCAATTACAGATGGCTTTGCTCACTTCAGCAGGCGAGTTGCTGGTTTAGTCTGCTGGCCTATTTCCAGCATACTCTTATCTTATATCTAGCGCATACATGTACACTGTATGCACTATGAGAGAGTGATTTGTGGCAGCAAAAAAGTGAAGCCCATTTTTTAGCTTGGCTGTTCCCATGGAAATGCTTGAACAAAAAATTGAACTTAGCACTCCGCGGAACTGCTCAGCTTCTTCGTAGTGTACTACCAATGACCATTGCTCTTGGTGGCTTACTGTAGCCACGCTACACATTCCAAATCCCCTCAACTGCGTAGGGACCCATTTTTTATTCTTTGGCGGTCATTATTGTCTACATGCATGCACATCTACAGTCAACTCTCTCTTAACGGACACCTGTATAAGATGGGCACCTCTGTAAAACGGACACTTAGAGTTGGTCCCTGCCTTTCTTTACTCCCTTTATTTGACTCTCTATAAGACGGACACCTCTGTAAAACAGACACTTAGAGTTGGTCCCTGCCTCTCTTTACTCCCTTTATTTGACTTTCTATAAGACGGACACCTCTCTAAGATGGACACTTAGTGCTAGTTCCAAAGGTGTTTGTCTTAGAGAGAGTTGACTGTATTACTGTGTTGATTAGTTCGATGTATAACTACACTATTAACCATTACCCTTAAGAAAAAGACTCAGATTTCCAGGTTTCGGTTTAAGAAGTTAAGTTCTCATTCCTCAGACGTTTTGGGGACATTTCTGTACAAGATTATAGTCGGGTACACAAGTAAAATTTTTTCACCACAAATTCATAACGCGCGTTACCTAATTAAGTGCACTTCCATAAATGAACTGTAACATAGAATAGCTAATGATTTTGTCAATAAAACTACCAGTAATTGGCAGGGCAAAGTAAACTGTCATTATTTTTTTAGAATAAATATACCACTCCATTAACTAGGTTGACTTAAAAATTTCAACCTTGCTGTCCAACTTTCATAAGCGACCACCTCCTGTAAGCGACCACAGAGCCTTCCCATTTTGTGTGGTTGCTTACGGGAGGTTCGACTATAGATAGAAAATCAAGGTAAGAAAACATGTTTTGCATCCTACTTCACAGACAAGTTGTATCAGCTTTGTTGGGCATAAATGTTTTTTTAATGGGTGATTTAAATGCATTGAAGCACTGTTTTTTGCTGTCAAAACTGTGGTTATTTTCCTGAAAGATATCTTTGAATTCATGTTCAATAAGGCTTGATCAGCTTTCAACAGCACTTGCTGGTGGAAGTTCCATGGGAATAAGGCTTTAAGTGTCTCTGTCTGAGAAAGTGTTCCAGGGGCCGAAAGTTTACTGGTCAACCGATTTAGCTGAAACTTGGCACAAGTTATGTGTGAAGAGAAAACCCACTTTGACTCGCTTCTCTGACTTTTAGTTTTGGAGTTTCAGAGGGGTCTCATTTTTTGGCCTTTGAGCACCAAAAATCCAGCCTTCCAGGGGGGGCATTTTGAAAGTGCCGTAAAACCCAATGGTAAATTGTGCTGCCAAATGAATTTGACCATGAACTCTACTATAACAGAGCTTTCAGTTCATGCATGTGCTTTTGTCCTCAAGGTATTGGACAGAGAGGAGCGTGGGGCTAGAGTTTGGCCAAAATGGTGCCAAAATAACAACCCCTTATATTATTATGGTTTATTGAATTTTTGAAAAAAAAAACACTCTTCCTCTAACGCGATGCAAAATGGAATGCTTGGAGTAATACGTAGAAATATGACATGGAACTGACTATAAATCAAAGAAAAATTTAAGCATCTGGTAAAAATATTGTTATAACTAGGTCAGAACATCATCATTAGTGTTCTATGATGGGTACTAGGTTTTCAAAGGAAAAAATTGCCCAAAATCAGGGTGTTTGTTGTGTTAATCAGAGGCTTTTTAGAGCAATTATTATAAGGTAAGAGTCGTGGTATTTCTAAGCAACGAAACTGATTTGGCTTTAACAGGGCCTACTCTGGGACCTTAAGTCGCCGTAACTTAGGCAACTTTAGGAAAATCTGTTCAAATTTGGGCGATTTAATGCGACTTTAGGCAACTTCAGGTGACCTACAATGATGCAATGTCACATAAAAGATAAGAGATTACATGTGCCTGAGTACATTATTCCCTGGGGCGGATCTAGGGGGAGGGTGCAGGGGGTGCACACCCTCCCCTGGGATGACCTGCGGTATTCTAATAGAATTGGTATTCTGCAAAAAAAATAAATAACGATGTGGTTTATTGGTGTTGAAGTAGAGCAAGAGACGAGTGCACCCCCTCCTACAAAAAATCCTGGATCCGCCCCTGATTCCAATGCACCTCTGTAAAGGAGAGACCTGGTTTGTAAAAAAAAAAACTCTGAGCTGATATTAAAGTGTCTATCTTCATAATTTGACAACAAACATTAAAATGGTTAATATTAAATCACTTATCAATATTGCAAATTGTGGAAATGACGATCCCCATTGTATGTCGTGGCAAGTGCTCTGCCAATGTTTGTCCTCATACAGTCATCCATGTACGTTTGGCAAATAAAAGAAAGTGTTTTTCCAATTGCATTCGGATACAAGCTTAAAGTTGGCCTTTTTCGCCACAATATATTGCTCCTTTCCTACCTCAATCAAAGAAAAAACTCCAATATTGCCAATACTTGCTTTGCTCGTGAACCGCACTCGCTTTCCATAAATTCCACAGTCTCTTTGGAAACTCTCCAGTCGGGTTGATTTCATGAATCTGCATGAATACATTACCAGCAAAAACACAACCAGCCTAGCTTTGTTCCGCGCGGCAGCGTTTACGCTGTCAGCATAAAAAGAAGCGTTCATGTTTAAACCGATGGCAGTACCAAGTGTAAACGTTGCCATTATAATCTAGGAAATTTCCAGTTAAAGGAGACATACCCAAAAGGAAAACGTAACAACAAGCCGCCATTTTGAATCTCCCAGAATTCCTCTACAGTCCATTGTTTCTCGTCCCCGCCCTCGCCCCGCCTCCAGACCAGCTTGTCATGTGATCAAAACACCACAGTTTCAGCCGGCCAATGCTGGGTGCATCATTTCGCGTTTCTACCTTCTTACTTACGTTTAATGGTCGATTACATCAAATCGTTTGGCAGGGAGCAATCACGACAACATAAACAAAACCATTTTACGCGCCTTCGATGTACAGAATTGTTTTTACGAGTGTTTGGTTGGAACCTTACACCTGGAGACAAAGCTTGAGTTTATATCTGTCTGGAAGGGAAATTCTAAAGAGACGACTATATAAGCTAAGTGTTCAAGTATATAAGAGTGATTGTGCGTATGACTGATAGATGGATATAATTCGACGGTAAATACATATCAGAGGTTGTGTGCTGAAGAAATGAATTTCGCACTAACCCTCCTCGCGTGGGTTATCTTAACCCAGCTAATTGAACAACCCGTCCCAGGTACTGTTAAAAAGCAAACAGTTGACAAAGTTTTAGATGTAATCATAAATTTTATTTAATATTGGGAATTTCACATGTAGACAATTACTGAAATTTACTATAAAATGCCGGAAACCGTTACTGACAAGTCTTCTTAACTTGTGTTAATGTTAAAGAACGACCCAAGACCACATTTTTGTGGTGAATGCCGGGGCACAATGATTGTGTTTAAACACTGGTACACTGACACTACACTTCTCAATTTCACACGTTTCAAGGGAATCATCAAAGCCTTCAATGGAGTGTGTGTGCGGCTCACGTCAATAACTTTTCCAGGAATTTGGTCGAGTGTATTGATTTCAGTGGCTTGAGTGGCGCTACTGTGGGCTGGTCACGTTTTTTCTAATAAATAACATAGAGCTAAAATGTCCGTTTGTCCAGTACCGAAAATATCACAAGTCATGATGAAATGGTGCCACCGAGCTTCACATCTGGGTAGATTTACTTTGTGGGATAACGGCCGCCACCGAGCTTCACATCTCTGAAGATTTACTTTGTTGAATAACGGCCGCCTAGCTAGACAACTCAGTAGATTTACTTTGTGGCACAACAGACGCTGAGCCTCACAACTCGCCGGTAAATTTACTTTGTGGCACAACAAACGTTGAGCTAAACAACTCGGTTTGATGCATGCACCAGGAGTAGCATGCATTTTCCAAAGAAAAATGTGAAGGCTTAATCCAAAGTAAAATTTTACTCAGGGTGTAAACTTTCTGTACACTTTTGAAAGATGAACGCTTTGGAAGATTCATTAAACACAGATTGATAGTAGACCTTCAGCAAACTCTTAAATATGTACGCTTTACAAAGATTCACCACACTTTTAAAAGATGAACGATTTATGAAGACAGAATAGCAGACCTCAGCAAACGTTTGAAAGATGAACGCCAAGGACAAACGAATCATCACGCGAGTTGGCATGTGAAAGTGAGGGGAAACGTAAGCAAGCGCCTCAAAGCGAGGCAAATGTGTGTCGACGACGATGACAAATGCAATCTCGAGAAAACCTCCCTTATTAATTGCACAGGACACCCAATAATTCACAGAGCACCCAACACAATTAGGGGTTGTGTTCTCGTACCTCGAACGCAATGATTAGTTTAACATTAGGGTGTGTTGTTAGCTGACGTGGTGCAATAGATATCGCCTTGCTCTTACACGCCAAAGGTCTGGGGTTCGACTCCCGTAGGAGGAAAACTCTTTCTTTTTTCTTCGTCGTTTTGTTTTGTTACACTTTTTTAAAAACAAATTTTCATTTAATAACAATTAATTATTAATCCAGACTATTGACAGAAAGAGAACCATTGATTCAAGTACATATGTTTAGTAAGTTTTGAGCTGTATTGTAGTATATATTATATTGCTGTATGTCTTGCCTGTTCTAGAAAAAAAGAGAAGTTGACTCAAATATGAGCTTATTTGTAAAAAGTGTAAGCCGGTTTAAAAAATGTGAAAATGGAATCTTAACTTTCACAACAAACACAGAATTCAGGGAAAATTGAGACTTATTTTACAAAAAGATCATCTAAGTGCCTAAAAGAATTCTTTTGCATTGAGTGAAAATTAAAATTATGGTGTCTAACAATTTTATGGAAATCCAGATGGGTGGGGGGTCCTTGAACTTGGAAATCCTGAGGGGAGGGGGCGTTCAAGCAGTTTTGGAAATTCAGGTGGAAGAGGGGGTCAAAAACCGTTCTTGGCGTCGTAGGGGTGTTGATTTTTTCTGGAATAACCCATTGTTGATTTCTTTTGTCTGTTTATTTGTTTTTTTTTTCTTTTCCCAACTGGCTTCTTTCCCTCTTGTCCTTCTTCTGTGGCCATAAGCTAGCCTCTAATGTGCGAGGTTCGACAATTCACTTATATTTTCTATTTAATTTTATTTGGTTGTGTGTGTATGTTTTTCTAAACTTGGGGTTGGGTTGGAAGATAATGCAGTACTTGGTAAATAAATGAGGTACTGAATACAATTATGCACTATTAACTAATTTAGTTTCTGTGAATCTCTTTGGGACATCAAGGTGCATATATGAACTCCCACTGTTTCTTAATGATGGTAAATGTTTTATTACAATATGTTTTTCCTCTGCTTGTCACAGTTAAGTGATTTATATACCTTAAGTGACAAATTGTTTTCCATATTTCTCCAGGTAGTGTACGGGGAACTGCCTCACTCTGGTCATGTCTAAGAAAGGCAACACACCACCTTCAGACCTTAAACTCTTCCTTGAAGATTTTCTTCAACACTCCAAATGCACTGGGGAGCGTTCACAAGGAGCTCACCACGTTCAGAATTTTGGAAGTTCTCCGGATGTAGCTGAAGAAATAAATGAAATGACGCTGAAATTAATACTATCCCATGTTCAGCATCAAAGTGTGAAATCTTGGAGTGACACTCAAGATAAGTTTCTGGTAATTACTCATCAAGAAGATGAGAGCTCTGATGTAATCAACTTTCTTTATGCCTTAATTGCGTGTGCTTCCCAAAAAGGTGCTACAAAAAGTTTGGAAGAAGTACTAACAATTGCAGTTCGGTACGAAGAGCAACCCAGTGCTGGCTTTCTGATGAATAACCTTGGTGTGAAGTTAAGTGAGCGTGGATCACATGAGAAGAGTAATGAGTGTTTTAATATTGCCAAGAGGTGTTTTCATCGCCAACAAGACAACTTGGGAAAAGCGGTTGTTACTTTGAATCTAGCAGTTCTCCACAGAGCCTTGGGGGACTATAAAAGTGCACAGAGTCTCTCTGTCACTGCAGCCTCCTTGTGTGACAATGTCTGGTTAGGAACAACAAAAGATAGTCATCTTCCAGAGAAGCTTTTAAGAAGAATTTTTAATATGCTGCAAGAGTTTGGAGAGTATGAGACATTATGTAAGACTTTTAAGATTTTTGTTGAATTTGACAAATTTTGTGGTGTAAGTAAACCTACTTCGATGGTTTTAACAAAGCAGTGGATGAAACTCCAACTTAGGGAGGGAACTGGTGAAAATGTTCCAGCTGAAGAAGTGAAAGAGTTTATTCTTCAGTTGTTTGCCCTGTTGGATAAGCCAGATGCAGAGGTGATGAATATTGATTTCATACAAACCATTATCCTTGTAGCAAAGTTTCATCACGATAGTGGTCATAATGATGAAGTCTGCCATTTATTAAAGAAGCTGCAGAAGGTTGTCTATCTTAATCTTGGTGGAGAAAGTTCTCTCTATGGCTTGCTGTTATACCGAATTGGTTGTTTCAAGTTTGCCTGTGGATTGTTTGATGAAGCTTTGGATGCACTCAAACTTGCATTGGAAATTCTAAGCCTTCATTTTGGGCAAGGACACCACACAATTGCATCATGCATGGATGTCATGGGTTCTTGTTTCTTGCTAAAGAGTAACACCAGAGAAGCGTGGAGGTGTTTGAATGAAGCCCTGGAAAGGTACAGAAAGCTAAATCCTAACCATCCAGTATTGGGAGGAATTCTTCTGAAACTCTCATTTTTTCATATTAAAGAGGAAAAGTTTCAGTGTGCCCTTGACACCATGCAAGAAGCCTTAGACGTGTTCATCTCAGCTTGTGGTGAACTATGTGTTGTGACAGCCACCGGATATTTCCAGTCAGCCATGGTCTTGTTGAAAGATGAAGCAGTGTGTTGTTTAGCCGAGGAAAAATTGATCAAAGCTATTGACATCTTCGAAAAGCTAGGACTGAAATGCCCACATGCTCATGTCATTGCTTGTCGCAGTTTACTTGGTGTCTTGCAACTCTCTTTGAGGAAAAGTGAAGAGGCAGGAAAGTGTTTCTTGGATATTGAACGGCAGCTAGAGTTGAAGTGGGACCGCTGGATTAAATCCAGAATTTTTTTATTTCCTTCAGTCAGTTTATTAGTGTCATCGCTAACAGCTGGTCTAGACAGATCTTTTGATCTCTGTGCCAAGGTTGTGTCTCTTGTGAATCTGGTACAGATGAAGACTGGCAATGAAAGACACAAGCATCTTGATGTCCTTGTTAATTGCTTGCAAGAACAGAAAATAGAGGAAGTACATGTAAGGGATTTTGCAGGCCAAGACGTGTGTTATATGTCACACAGACCGCCTGAAACTGATAGAGCTGTAGTTCTCATTTTATCCACAGACCCAAAGCCAATCTCTTTGAAGGCCAATGAAGGGTTGAACTCTCATTCAGTGCATGATGCAATACAATCACATGCCCGAAATGAGTCTGGTGTGTTCTTGTCATCTGCAAAAAAGAAACATTTTGTCCTGTTTTTGAGGTTTCCACGTAACATTCAAGATGATGCTAATTCCTTGGCTTGTTCCCTCCATAACTGTGCTAAAATGCTGTTTCTGCAACTAAGATCCAGAAAATATTTCGTGGAGGCAGATGAAGATTTCTACAGGGAGCTTACAGTGCCAATACATGATATGTCTTCCATTCGTGGGCTGATTGACTGCCTTCCACTTCTTGTAGCAATGGAACTTTCAGAACTAACGGAATGTGAGAACATCAGTTGCTCAAATTCTTGGGAATCTCCAGTGAGATCTGTCAAACCTTTGCTGCTGATCTGTTACTCCTCCTTTGAATGTTCCAACCAGCGCGAGGCGGAGCTTGTGTTTGGTCATTTAAGCCACAGATTAGAAGAAAACCTAGCTGTAAAGAAGGGTTATGGTGTTATTTCCCCGATGCACAATGCCGCCTTCCTTGTGGTTACCAACCTTAAAAAATCCTCGGTATCTGTTGTTGTGGAGAATAATTTTGTTGTTGTGAAATGCTGCAGCTCCAATGAATCTGATTTAGAGTCTGTTTGTTCATTAATACAAAATGCTCTGCAAAACCCAGTACAAAGTTTGTGTGATGTTATTGGGTTGAACATTAAACAATCTTCATGGTTTTCTTATAATAATATTGCCACATCCAAGATGCAATTTTCTGTTGAAGATTTTTTACCACCACCACCAGTGTCTAGTGAGGTGTTCTCCCCTGTCTTGACCTTGGAAACTGGGGATTTAGTCCCATGTACAGTTAGCAGAGACCCAGAATCGGATATAAAGAAGCAGCCAACTGTTGATGTGGTAAAGGATGAGGTAAGCATTTTTCTGAAACTTACAACAAAAGGCCTCTATTGATAATAAATTACCTAACTCTCGAATTCCCTAAGAGTCAGTTCTGGAGATGTGTTAAAACGTAATTAATTCACTTATAAAAGCGGGAGATACCACAAGAGACTGGGGAGAAGGGATTTTTTTTTGTCTCTGGCTCTTATATTTTGGATCCTCTACAAATAATCGGCAATAGCCGACTTTTTTTCACTTTCATCCCTATTGAACAACATTTGTAATAAGAAACATACCTGTTGGAGATTGCATTGATGGTAATACATGAAGCTGCTGATAGCTAGCTTTTTTCCCCCCTAACCATTATGTGAGGTTGTTCTCCAGCTATTGATCCTTGTAGAAAACACTGACCACGTTTGTGTGGTAGTAGTCAATTTTTCTCACCTATTTTGTTTTTTCTTCGCTGATACTTTAATGACCAACCTGAGAGTGGGACAAAAATTGGTCAGAATTAAATTGAAGCTTTTGCTTGTAGAGGCTATTGTAGATAGTACTTTGCATTTGGAATGTAAATTGTTCTTGTTCGTGGCCTGCCAGTTTCTTGGTACAAGGGTTGGCAGGACTTATGACTCGAATCTGTTTCTTTGATAGATTGTGGAAGTCAGGCCTCTTCTTAGCCGTTCCTGCAATGAGTTACATCCAGACATGGACGTTTATTTCAATCTTCTGAAGTGCCTGTTGGGTAAAGTCAGACCTGAGTCCACTAATGAGGAAGCATTGGGGAGCTGCACAGTGTCGTCATCTTCCTTTGACAGATGTGATTATCATAATAGCGTTCATGTAAATTGGAATGAGTCGACCGCATCTTCTCAAAAATCCTTGTCTGCAAGCCCCGCCACATCTGCAGACGTTTCTTTCACACGAAAGAATTCATCACCTGAGAGCCTGTTATCTGCAGGCAGACTGGAAGAAGGCAGTCCTGATCGCGACTTAAAGAATGCAAAGCTGTTAAAAGATATACAATCGACCACCACAGGAGTGAAAAAAGAAGAAAGGTCCAGTCTCATTAATGATCACCGAGGAGGTGCTTCACACGATACTCATACAAGTGTCACTGAGTTTGTTGCTGTGAATAACAGCAATCTACCATTGAGCAAGTGGAATAAACAGTGGCTAGTGAACCAAAACCAGGGGCAATGCAATTCAGCTAAACCTTATCAAAGTATTCCTAGACTACCATCTGCAGCAAGTTCAGAGAATATGGACAAAGGAACTTTCCCTGACGTTTTTCGTTTACCCATACAGCCAAATGCCGAGAATGAGTTAGCAGCTTGTCGGAAGAGGTGCGTTGAATTAGAGCAACAGATGAGGAAACTGGACGAGCAGTTGAAGCAGAGTGAGGAGGAGAAACGCCAGCTTCAAGCTGATCTGGGAAGATATTTGTTCCTTGAAGAAAGAGAAAAGTGCAGTGGAAAGACTCCTTGTTAGCCCAGCTTCAGTCCAGGATCTCGGTCAGTGAAAGTCGTTAAAAATAATAATTACCAGTAGCAGCTTGAGAAAAAGAACTACTTTCCTTTGGGCATTAAAAAAAACTGTCCGGGAAATGTCAGGGCGAATTTTTAATAAGGCCTTGGTGAAGTTTCTGACGATTTTTTACAATGGGTAGGGCTGAGTGTTTTGAAATAGCAGGGGGAGGCAATGCCTGATTATTGTGCTCAACAAAAAGTTAAAATAGCAGCTAGTACTTTCTCTACCAAGGCTGCAAATAACAGGCAGTCATCGCACAATGGCCTAAGACAATTTTTTCCAGGTCCGATGAAATCTCAACCATCGTCAGACATTATGTGCGGCTTTTAAATCAACAACTATGATCCTGCTGAAAATGAGTTTAATTTGTCTTGAACAATTAAACAGATCAAAACTCCTCACTTGCTACCTCTCTCTAACTACGAATCAGATATGAAACTGAAATGAAGGAAATAAATTTTGAGATAATGTCATGTCAGACCACATTTTTGATTTATTCAGGTAAAATGATGATTTAGTCGGACATCTGTCCTTTGAAGAAAAGTTAATAGATTTGTAGCCCCGATCATAGTAATGGTTAAATATGGTTCAAGTAGCAGACGTGATATGAAGACATGTTTATGCGCTTGCTGAGGTCAGACTTCTTTAAGTTTCAGTGGGAAACATATTAGCCATTTATTTGTAGGCAGTATATCTCTGCAACTCATTTATGTTAAATGTTTTGTAACATTTTCTGACTTTTTCTTTCAGTATCAGACCACAATTCGGCGGACCACAGTTTATCAGCGAGAAAAAATCAATTGTATAATGCTGAAAAACCACCTGACTCCATGACTGCACAAGGTGGTTTGCTGGCATACACACCTGACAACGAGCAGCAAAAAAATGATGCAACTATGTTTCCATCTTCAAGAAATCCTGTCCATTTGCAAGGCTGTAAAGAAAATGATCAATCTTTAAGAGCAGAGGAAACAGATCACTGTGAAAACCTATCTTCAATTTCATCCAGTTACAGCTCAACCATTTCTTCTGCTGCACATACTACAGAAGCACTGTCTGACTGGTCTTCACAAGCCTCAGTCAATTTAATGGATGGTTTACCAGTGTCAGCATCAGTCAGTTGTCTTTCGTCTTCAAATAATGGCGCATTCTCAAGCGACGTGGGTCAGTCGTTGGTTAGCGCCAATGGAGTATCAAACGGGGAAGATGATAGAGTGGAAGGAGCGTGTCCTACCAATGGAGACGAAGAAGGGCTAAAAGGATCTTTTGATTTATTTGATAGAGACCAAGGAACAGTGCAGGTAGCTGTCACAGGTACTTTCTTCGAAGCAAAAACAAATAGTTTAGATAATTCTGGTCATGGTCTTGTCAGAACTCAAGGTGGTACAAATGAAGGAAATATTTCTTACCCACAAGTTGTCGTTCCAGATGTTGAGTTGACCGTTGGCAGACCTTCAGGTGGAACGGATTGGGAGCGCCAAGGTGTTAGGCCAAAACAATCGCAACATTCAGAAGAGAGGCAGCTACCAAGAGAGTGCCTGGTCCAATTTAGTGACATTTTAGCAAATGGTGTGTCAGAACAGTCGGCAGAGAACTCAGTGTTTGCAGAAACCTCCGTTGTTGAACCACTTCATAGGGAGGAGGATAAACATAAACGGTTTGGAGGGAAAAGAGGAAGCAGCAAACAAAGAGCCAAAGAAAGGAGAGAAAAGGAAGATATGGAGAAGCAGAAAGCTGCAAGTTGGCCACAAACAGGGGGAACTACATTCTCACAGCAGTTGCGTGAGCATTATAACAACCAAAGCTCATCATTATCTTCATCCAGAACCCAGAGTGATAGAATTGTGGAAGACATTCCTTTGTTACGGCAAGGTGCCTCTCCAGATGCAAGGGGGACAGTAAGGGCAAGAGACTGGGAGCGTGAAGGTGCGAAACTAAAGTAGGCCAGCAAGCAAGTTCGTTCCGAGGTGGTACAGATACCAAATGATCCTCTTGTCCCACAGTTCGCTGATTCTTCAACAGAGAGCTCAAATGACCCATTACTTTCTGAAGAACAACGCGTTCAAAGAACTGTAAGGGAAGGGGAGCAACGTGAACAGTTGGAAAGAAAAATAAAAAACAACAAAGAATGGCTGATGAGAGAACAGAGAGCTAGAGAAAGAGGGGAGAGAAAAGTAAGGGGGATGCAAGAAGCTGAAAAGAAGTCACAAGAAGAAACTGCGGCATGCTCACAGCATCAGCGTGAATATTATTATAGTCAATGTTCATTGACTTCATCAAGAACCCAAGGCATTGTGGGAAACATTCCCTGGTCACAGCAAGATACCTTTGTAGATGGAGGAAGGCCATCAACGGCAACTTATCGAGAACATGATGGTTTAGCTGATGAGTTTTTGTCAAGACACACCCAAGATAAGGCTCTTTATGACAGTCTATATCAGAGCACTAGCACAGATGTGTCATTGCTCAATGGCATTTCAGCACAGGGAACTTCCTATACAGACGGTTATGTATCACATTCCGACAGACGTAATCCATACTTTGGGGATAACCAAGCTAAATCTCAGACTGGTGGTGAGCAGAGTACCGGTCACAGAGCTCAAAACCCAACTTTGACTCTTAGAAATGTAAACAGTGCTGCAGGCAATGAGAATGCAAGAGATGATCTATGTGAATATATGCTGAATCAGTCTGTTTCTGTTTCCAGTCCGGGTTTTTCTTCTGTAACAGGAATTCACTCTTCAGCAAGACGTCAGGGGGCAATGCTCTGTGCCCCATCTAATGCAGCTATGATTGGTGGTGAAGTGTTGGCACAAGAAAATGCACCTGTTTGTGAACCTGTTCGTGAACCACGTTCTGGTGGTGCAAACAACATCAGAGGTGCTTCTGTTAATGTTCAACAAGAATGTCCATTGCTTGATTTGATGAGAAAGCAAGTTTGTAAAGGCACGCCTTCCATCTTTGAATCTTTTATACCTAATCAGTTTGATCGTTACTGTAAATCCATTATAGAACATGGATTACACATAGACTGAACGTAACTATAATATCAATTATAAAAAAGAACAAAAAGTGTCATTCATGATCATCAGTTTTTCTAACTGGTGGTGTTTTTCTGATGAGTTTAGCATGAAAAGATCAAGAGAATAAAAAAAGATAAAAAACCGCTAATGGTTGTCCATCGTAAGCCAAGAAATAGCCCTCTAGCTCGTGTCAAAGAGTTCCATTGCACAAAATTATCCAAATCTATCTCTTCAATATTTACTCAATTTTGCGTGTACGTTAGACAACTACAGAACACAAAAAAGAGCCCAACATTGTGTTTTACCCTGATTCATATAATTATTTTCGTGTTTTCCAAAATCGCGCAAGTCTACTTGCTTCCTGCGAGCGCTTTGAAGAATGCATAAGGGGCATTTTTTAAATGAATGAGTGGTTAAAACTTTCTGGAAACTTCCAAGAAGTAGCAAATTGGTTTGCTTCAAGTCCAGTCTTCAGTTCACGCACAAATTGTACCCTTCACGTGGAAATTCCAAGATACCTCGAAATTCTTGCTACATATTTTTGTGAAACTTCGTAGAAGGTAAGCACCCAGAGATGTGGACAAGGGCTGAAATTTGACTTAGAGATAAAACAATTGTGACGTCATTGTCACGTGACATTCATCTCTATCTCGAAAATGTTAACATCTTAATATGGTTCAATCTATGTGTAATCCATGTGTTAAGGTCTATTTACTATAAAGATCAAGCTGTTTAGGTATAAGAAGTTCAAAGATGGAAGGTGTGCCTACAGAAATTCAGGGTCGAGCCACCTTAAAGGTTAACAGTTACTTGGATATGTTTGTAAAGCAAAGTGAAGTGAAGCGAAGTAAAGTAATCTAATGTAAAGGAAAGCGAAGTAACTTAAAGTAAGTACTAGCTTTTTCGTTTTTAAATTGAATATATGCTACACAAGAGGCTTGTTAGCAGCCAAGGATGAAAAAAGTGGCCATAAACATTCTTCCTGCTGAATCTGGTCTCTCCAACGACTTGAAAGGCAGTTATTGGGCTCATCAATTGGCGATGAATTTAATATTGTACCGTTAATATTGGTACTTTAAATATGGTTTCCAAATATAATTTTTGAAGCGAAGGAAAAAATCATGGAATTTTATTTCGAGTCAGGGAAAACTGGGGATTGGGTGCAATAGTTGAGTTTGATCATTCAAAGCAGAGCTTTGGCGGTAGTTTCACTTGATAAATTTGTCATATTTTAGGAGTGGATCACCTGGCTACTTGCTTTACTGGAAAAGAGCCTTATTTATTTATTTAATCGCTTTCACCATGATTACAATGCTAAAAAAGACTAGGGAAAAAACAATACATTTGAACAAGACACAAAAACGAGCGACGAAGGTGCTGGACACACAAAAGAGCGAGGCTCCAAATTAAGTGTGCCTTTAGTCTTTGTTTATTAATACAATGTTTTTTTCACCTTTCTTGAAAGTGACAAGTCTGTTGTTAAACTCATGAAAGACCTCCTTGAGATCAAAGTGACCTTTAGTAGTCTTATAATTTCAATTCTTCTTCTTTGCTTATTAAATTGTTAAAAGGCAGTGGCGGGTCTGACCCGGGTCCCCACCTGTTTTGGTGGCTAAACTAAAACCCCAGGGGCCGAGGCTTGGGCCCCCTTCTATCTTAGGGTCTGGATAATCGGGCCCCTCACTAACTAAAAGATCTTAAACCGCCCCTGAATGCTTAGGTAATCTTCTTTGTTGACTATCGTTGTTGCTGTCTGCTTTTAATAAAGGCACCCACCTTGAATTGTGCGATTTGTGGCCTGTGTATTTATGAACAGTTAGAGGGAACATCTCACCAATGTCAAACAGCTGAATGCTGTATTTGCCTGGGGGTAAGTTGGAATTCTTTTTTGTCGTGCTTAACTTTCATAGAACAGTCGACTGAGTGTTGTTTTCACCGCGGTAATAGCGAGTGTGATCTTTAGTGGCGCGTAAGTTCTCTGTATCCCATAAGCTTTCCAGTAACATAAAAGGCGTAATGTCACTATGATTGAGTGTTTCTTGAATATCTAACAGAAGTAAGTTTATTATACAGCTGCTTCTGCGAGGGGGCAAGTTGAAGTTAATCCCATGTTTTGACTGGCTATCCGAGCCAAGTGAGCCTGTCTTGTGCGCTCGGGATTTCCAGTGACACTGATAATGATAATGATAGTAATAATAATAATGATAATGAATGATAGTAATAATAATGATAATGAATGATAGTAATAATAATAATGATAATGAATGATAGTAATAATAATAATTCCTTTATTTACCCTCGGCAGTATTAAAGCGTAAAGGCTGGTGGGGCCAAGCAAATGGCTGAAACTAATATTTAAATCAAACATAACAGGGTTTATAAGAATCCCAATTGTCACCTTCAGGGTTCGTACAGAGTCTTAAATTCTTGAAAAAGTCTTGAAATTTCCAAAGCAATTTTCCAGACCTGGAAAAAGTCTAGAAAATGGAGATAAAGTGTGGAAAAAAGCTATAACAAATATTTAGTAAGTGAATTTATTTTTCCACGGTCAAATCTTATTCAATCTCGTCCGTAGCCAAGACATTCAGTTACAGAATGAAAATTTTCAGAACTCTCTTATGTCCATTGCACCGTGGCTACTGCACTGTAGCGGTGCATTATGAGCAAAGCTTGGTTTCTGCGCTTTTCAAGGTCTCTGTTGGTCACCTATTTCATGACCTTGAGTATGGAAAAAGTCTTGGATTTTGGATCCAAAAATCTGTACGAACCCTGAAAGTAAGCGCCTCCGCCCTTTCTGGCGTTGGTTCCGCAAGAAAAAAGTTCTCGTGACCGTATAATAAATCCTTTATTAAACTACTTCATTGACCAAGCTTGTTCGGTCAAGGTGACTGGAGATTGGTCTTGTATTTTTTTGTGTGTGTGTTTTTTAATGGACCTCGATTTCGTCTCGATCCGAGAACACACAAAACAATTCGGTCAATGTTCAGCCATCTTGACCTCACGCTTGGTCAGTGACGCATATCAACGGCAATTTGCTAAGAGTGGCCTGATCTTTCTAAATTTTACTATACTCGTATATGGAAACTGTTATAAATATTGTCTCTGACTTAGGAAAGCTTTAAACTTTCTGGTCATCGTTTTCGAGTTTGACATGTAACAAATTAGTACTAAAAGTACAAGTTGTACGTTGTAACAGGAGCTCTCCTTGTAAGCCCAAAAGGGACTTTAAAAACTTAATTTTATTTATTTGCTTATAATGACGTAGTAAGGAGGGGATTGCGTGACCATTGTATCAGGATGGTAAAGTTTACTTGACCGCTTAGGGTGAAGTCGAAGAATTGCCATCTGTGTCCCATAACTGTAAAAGCAAATATAAGGATATGTGCAATTTAGAATTTTATGGTTAGGGGAGGGGAAGGTCGGGAATATCTTCAGAGGGCACGCGAGAGGGGACGCGTCTTGCGTGGCTCGCTTCGCTCGACACTCGAAATGGATAGCTTGCTCTCAGGCTAAGAATCTTATGCCAGGTGAAAACGGACGCAACAACTCCCGACAATGTTGGGAGTTGTTGGCCAAAAATGTTGCGTCCGTTTGCAGGGGGCTAAAAGTTTGACCGGTTTCAAACTCTGCGAAACAACATGTAACAGGATGTGCAAACGGACGCAACATGTAACTTCCAACAATGTTGGAAGTTGTTGGCCGACAATATTGCGTCCTTTTGTACGGGGCTTTATAGAGAAGATATCTGTTTACAAACAAACCTTTTTGTTATTTAAATGTGCCAAGCACTGAAACAAAAAATTTTTTGTTTTAAGAGCCAATAATTCTCTGGTTGGCACATTGATATCAATCAGTAGGTGACGTCAGCCATATCTACGCTACACTGATCCTGAAGAGACATCTTTTTGGCTTGACCGTAATCTCCTACTCATTTGTTTCATCAATGCCTGGGTTGCTTTACCTTACAACTTTACGTCTTGCTCTTTCCTTAAAACTTTAAAAGTAAAGTTAAGGTTTTTTTTCCTAAGAAACATTACTATCTTATCTAGAAAATAAAATTAACTTATCCAGGACCCACTATAAACTTATTTGCACTGAATGTCGTATAATATGCTGTTTTTATGACCACTTTGTTATCATTTCTTGTGGTGGTGTAGCATTGTATGAAGGTCTATGGCCTACTGATATTGAGTCCATTTTAGTTCTTATAATAAATTTGTCCATAAATTGATTGTAGTGTTATTCTCAGTTGATAGATCCATCGATCAGATGCGTCATATTGCCATGTTGGCACAGGGTCCACATCGAATGTGCTAATGATTGGATTCAGCGTGGCAAGTAAGTCTTCAAATTCTCCTTACCGCATTCTTATCTGGTTTACATCCATCCACTCTTTTTTGCATTAGGAAGTATTCTTTTTAATTGCCCGGCGGCCATGTTAGTTATAAGCAGTTAAATCATTTAAAGAAAGTGAGGGCAATGAAATATTTGCGATTTTTTAAATTATTAGTCGTGGTCTTGCCTCTTTAGTCAAAGCATGATCGACCATAGACCACTGACTTTTCATGTTTATTTTCCAAGCATAGTTTGATGATTTTCAAGCGGCCGGTTTGATGGTCAATAGACCACTTTCTCGTTTTCGAGATGGTTTCAATGTAAAAATAATGTATAATAACCTAGATAATGTACTACAAGGTGAAAAATGTGCATTATTTTTAGTCTACTCAAGGCTCCGGGTTATGCCTGATCTGTGCATTTAAATTGACAGAGCCTTCCACCTTGTTTTTTGGATCACTTACTAGAAATAACATTTGTGTAAGGTGCAAATCCACTCGCAAACTGGTGTTAACGCTTTATTTGGACGAAACAAACCAATCCGTACAAACAAGGATATATATACTTCGGACGAGTCCAACCAATCCGTACAAACAAGGATATATATATTCGTTGTCAAGCGTTAAAACGTCCTTACTTCGGGTAAATCGCTCCAACTGATATATCGAGAAACTCCGTACAACAACCAAAAAAACTCATCACGTGATCTAAAAGGGCGGGAAACAAGAAAACAGGGAACCCAGCCGCAACAATTTGCTTACATATCTGCAAGTGTAAGATTTGTGACAGCACAGAAAGATGTAGAGCGATCGTGTGCACATCTTGGAGGGTGTCATTGGCCGCGACAGGTAACACTCACCGAGATCACTATAATCCTTCAGATGATACGAAAGCCGAATCCAATTTTTTTATATTCATTTAAAATAACTCAATATACTTTTAAAACAGGCTAAAACATGCTTACCTCGAGCGATGTTAAGTTTTCGTCTACATTTGCCTGTGTCTCGGCAGTGGAAGATATTCTTCACAACTAGCTACACAACAAAACACTTACTCAAGTTTTGTTTTTGGTGTTATTCCTATGTTTTTCAGAAACAAGTAAAAAATAACGCGGATAAGAGTGAACGACGTTTCGGTGTCATCTTGACGCCATTTTCAAGTTCAAAATGATTGCTGATAAAGACGATAACGGACCAAAAGTTTTTCTGGCTGATGATTAGCATATATGAAATCTGCAAAGTCACGCAAAACGTTTTGCTCGAATTGAGTCCGATTGGACATTTAGAGAAGGTGATAGTTCCCTAATTAGCAACATTTCGTGCCCTAAACAATCGAACTTGTTATTGAACTTCTTAAGGACAGAGAACTGTTTGTCAAGATCTTTCGGGACAGTAGAGCGATTATCCTTATAATGTTTACCAATGGAGGAAGAGATATTTTTGCGTTCATACATAACTTGCATCAAACTAGTCACATTGGAATTGGTAAACTACACACTGTTGGTTTACAGTGGGCGGTTTTTTCTAAGTACATGTACCTCCTGAATCTTGTGGCTAACGAAAACTGATTGAACGACTGTGTGAATCTTCTGGCTTAGTTCTCTACTCTTTTTACGAACTAAATCTGCTGAAGCTTGGTCTTTAAACAGCAGGACTCACTACACGAACTGGAGGGCTCTCTGCGGGGGCAGGTTTCGGTGGCTGGTCTTTTGCCTTTGAAGCAACAAAATCCCTGATGGTACTAATGATAAGACGTTGCGGATATTTAAGCAGAACAATCGGTCACATTCAACAGAGAAATACGACCAGCAAGACGATAAGCGATATGCACGATCAAGCATGGTTTTCAACAGCCCACGTTTATAGCGCATATCAACATGGCTGTGGTTGTGGAGCAAAAGTCCCGTGTTGGTAGGTCTGACGTAAACTTTGGTCTCGATTTGTGATGCTCTGTTCAAACAATACATTCCGAGAAAAAGAAGCACGCCATTGATTTCCGTTTCCGTAGTGAAATTAACTGAAGAGTGGCAGTTGTTCAGGACCTGAAGAAAAGAAGCCGCTGATGTTGTGTCCAGCATATTGGTAAACGTATCATCAACGTATCTCTTGTAGAATTAAGGCACTTTGCCTTCACGCTCAAGAGTTTTTTCAATGGATCCCATGAAAACATTGGCGAGCAGTGGCCCAAGTGGTGAGCCCATGGCGACTCCGTCGACCTATTTGTACAGTTGCCCATCGAACTTGGTCTTTGGTGGCTTTTTAGAAGATCAACAAGGTCCACTTTGTTGAGGTTCAAGTGTTGTTGATAAAGGCTTTGTCAGATAGTATCTGGATGGTTTCATCTACGGGCACGTTGGTAAGTAGTGAGGTAACATCGTACGACACAAGAATATCACCGTTGTTGATTTTCAGTTTGCGAATTTCGTACGCAAACTCACAGGTGTCAGTTATTGTGTACTGGTTGTTGGCGAACGGCTGTAATTTCTCCTCTAACCATTTCGCCAACCCATAGTTGTACGTTTGTGTGGGAGATGAGATGGGGTCACGTACCAAATGTTTTTTGTGGGTCTTGGGCAGCCGACCGGGAGCCTGTGAGGCGCACGGAAACAGCTATAGGTTTGGGTAGAATTCTGCGGACTATAGATTCCAGATCTTCTCCTTCTGTAGGCGGAGTGGATGGTAGTGTTTGGGTGGTGTACCCTCTAGCCTTCGGCCTCTCAGGATCGCTCACTCTGAATTTCGTTGTATCGTTAATGTATGCCTCGCATAACAAGCGTGGATATTCCGACTTATCCATTATGACTACTCCTGACCTTTAGTCCGGTTTTGTGATGACAATATCGTCACGTCGTTTTAACTTGTGGATGGCTTTAAGGAGTGACTTCGCGGATTCGGGTCCTCTCCGATGGGTGTAGATAAGTGCTACAGATCGCAGGGTTGCTGCTGAAAACTCTTTAAGGTCATAAGACAGATTAGGCTCGAGCTTCCAAAAGGCTTTTTCAAAGCTTGTCTTCACTTCATTGGAGAATGTCCTATGTTTTCAGGTCGTAGTTAGGCTATTTCTTCTTTTCAAAACGTGTGAAATTTTCCGATATCTTTTTGCACCTCAACCAAAACAGCTGAGCTAACGCAAACCCTGCCCCAGGGTTTCTTGGTTGTCTTTCCTTTTTTTGTTTGCTGGATTACACAAATTCCTTCCAAATTTGGTCAATGCTAGCTGGTTATGAAGAATTAACGGGAGATTTGAACCAATCAGAAACAAAAAAATGTTTTGAAAGAATAGTAAGAATAGGTCTTATGTAAGTGGCCGCAGGTCTTTATTACGGACGCCATACAGACCTCATGATTAACGCTGTTATACGTTAAAAATAATCAATCTTGTGTTTAATTCCTTGCAGTGATACTTGTCCGATATGTGGACATTCTTTGTTCGACCAACCAGCCGAGGAGTAAGGACTTCATCATTATGTATTATTATTGTGTTAATGGATCGATATGCATCATTATTCATATCATACTCAGTCTCGTCTAATAGTTGTTTTATTATTCAATCAAAATATTTCCAAGCTCAGAATATGCCCACTTCTATGCATTTGCCTGCACTTCGGATATGAAGAATGTTATTGTAGCATATATTCTTCATATAGCAGTCGTCATCTGTCGAGTGATATTTTTGTCTAGTCTTCCCAAGTGTTTGAGGCAGTAGCTCAGCTATTTCGCCCTCGCATAACGTGTGAATTCTTCCGCCATTTTTCCAACTCTGCACTGCCAAAAACAGCTGAGCCACCACGCCGCTTCGTTGCGTGACATCTGTGCGTCTTCTTTTCAGTCGATAACATTACGATTGTACGATTGACTTCAATTGTAAATTAACAACAAACACCTTCCAAATTTGGTCAACGCTAACTGTTGATGAAGAATTAGGCCTGTCAGAAATGGACAAATATTTTGAGTGAATAATTATGTCTGTTGTTGTGCATAAATTAATTTTTAATTGGTGTCCGGCACCAATTTGAGACTCAGTCTTTAATTTTTTACCACTACAAAGATACTATTAATATTTTATTGATCAAAAATCTTGACTGAAATATTAACTGAACTTTGTGTTGGTTTACTGCTGTTCAGTAGCCCACACGTGCTGCTGGGAGAACTCAATTAATTCGAGACTTACAAGCCCTTAGAGTGTTTTCTTTAACCTTCCAACAAGGTTTTTTTCTTGCCGGTAAACCATCTGCCTCGTCCCCATTCGCTCGCAGTTAGTTAAGGGATGCAAGTTCTAAACTAGGTATGTGGAAGGGGTACCATTTAATACAAGGTATACGAAAGGGGTACCGTTTTGGTCAAAAATAGTATATAAAAGGGTTAGGGGCTGGACCTCGGAGCGGAGCCTCCCCGGGTAAAACGTTGTTGATTAGCCCTCGGGGCAGAAGGTAGGATAAACCATTACAAAGTTCCGGTTAATGCCTTTATAAAATCAAATTAAATAAAAACAAAGTGGTTTTCTGCATTAAAACGTAATCGGAGAATAGTTCAGGGAATTATTAAGAATACTAGGGTGATTTGTAGATATATACGATAATGATAGTAAAAATAACTCACGTTTTATCTTATATAGTAGTGTTATTTTTTTAATATTTTATTTTTCTATTTGAAGGGGATATAAGGGAGTTAATTGATATTCATAAACCATGCGAAATATTGCTGGATCATACTGGCAGTCTTGATTAGGTTGGGAAATGGAAACTTAATTTTGGTGCGGAGCTTAATAGGCTCCGGTTCTGGTCTATAATAGCCGCTAGTTTACACTTGACAAAGGCTGCATTGGTCTGAGCGCTACAAAATGTAAACCCGCTTTTAACCAGTCGCATATGACAAGATAGGTCCTGAAACATCTTACTACAGTATTGATAGTTATTACCATAGTGAAGAAAAAAAAAGTAGATAGAAAAAAAAAAGCATGAAGTAAAAACGCCCATTAAAAAAGAAAACTGCTAGAAGACACCCGGGGTCAATTGCAGGGACATTTGGTAGCGACGTTCAACAGCGACCAAATGACGGGCAAACACAAACTTGTATCGAGAACATGTAGCAGAAACGAAATCACAATGTCCTCAAATAAAAGAAATGTCGGGACATAATCGACGCCCGTGTACACGAAGGTTCATACATGACACCTTTGCAACATCTTTTCCACGCAACATACCTATCACGGAAAAGCAGACTCAACAGATCCCTTGTCATGTCCTCGCAACCTGATCACCTGTGTCTCCTAACCCTATTAATAAGATTAATTTAATGTAATAGACCTTTTTAGCTTCTTTGTTTTGTTTTTCCATTTTAAATCGCGTGATGTTCTCAAGGGAACTGACATTTGTTTTTCACAAATTATCCATGCGTATGCACATGGATAGGGTAACATTTTAAAAGCTCTCAGGGGTAACATCACATGATCTGAAATGGAAAATAATCATACGAGCTAAAACGGTCTTTTTGCCAATGAATTTAAATAGTTTATCTCATGACGATTTGCTAATAAATTTAAATAGTTTATCTCTCGACAATTTGCTGATGAATTTAAATAGTTTATCTTGTAACAATTTGCTGATGAATTTATCTAAATGTACACAACATCTATAAGGTGCTTGCGAGATGCAAGTAATTTAGTGTGTTATTTAGATTAGTGTCCAGTCTACTCCCGAGATGCGAAGTCCAGTCGAGCAGTCGAGCTTGCAAACTGTAACACCATATGAGTTCCTCATAGCTCAGTGGTTAGAGCGTCCTACCGGTACCTGGAAGGTCGTGGACTCGATTTCTGCTGGAGGAATCGGATTCGAGAGAGTAATTCATGTAAGAGAGTGATGATCGCGTTACCTTTGACAAAGTTTGACGATTTCAGTTCTTTCAATTTTTGACAACGTTGATGAATTCTGTGTACAATGAAACCCCGCCTTATAGCCACCTCGGTAATACGTTCACCTCGTTATTACGGCCATTTTTTTTCGGCCTCCTGGCAAAACGGTCATACACTTTCTTGGAAAAAAACCTCGTTAATAAGGTCACCCGTTAATACGGCCAATTTTTTGGCCCATTAGTGACCGTATTAACGGGGTTCAATTGTAAAGAAAAAGCGATTAAAACATTTTGGATGTTGATTAGTGTTGCACTATAAGGAAAAGTAGTCCAAAGGTTACAGGAAACATGAAAAAACTTTGTCGAGGAGCAACGGAAACGCGATCACTTCATTGGTGAAATGTTAACCCAATCTGACTATGGGCCCGTGTTTTATTGGGAGAATCCCAAAACGGATTTGTGATTTCAGATGGATTCTTAACTACCAAACGACTGAGGGTCCGAAAACGATCTTTCGCCATGAAAAAGTCACGTCGTCGTACTCCTCGTGATTAACAAAAAATGGAAGAAACAACAACAAACTGATTCTCGCGGCTAAGAGAAAAAGGAAAAAGCAACATAAAATACACACAAACGTTTCTCGGGGGCTAAAAAAACTAGAGTACACGTTACGATCGTAACATAAGAATATATAAAATTGAAGATGATACACGTTCTCTCTAATTATATGGACCATAAAGGTAAGCAAACAAAAGTATATAAGCATGAAAATGGTATGTACTAATGGCAAAATAGCGCCAGGAACATAGGTCCAGTTATATTGCCATACATGTACGGCATCTGTTGTGTACCGTTTTTTTTTATTCGCAAAACCGCCCGCAAAAGTACTCTTTTCAAATCCCTTCCAAAAAAATGGTCAAATGGTGAATCTGGAATGTCCGGATTGGATTTGATCCGGAGAATCCACCCGCCGCCCGGTTAGCTCAGTTGGATAAGCGCCGGTCTGCCGAACGGGAGGCCCCTGGTTCAAGTCCCGGCCGGACCAACACTCAGGGTCTTTAAATAACTGAGGAGAAAGTGCTGCCTTTGTAAAGACATCTGCAAACGGTTAGACTTTCTAGTCTTCTCGGATAAGAACGAGAAACCGTAGGCCCCGTCTCACAAGCCCTTGCATATATAAATTCTGTGATACGTTAAAGAACCCACACACTGTTCCTAAAGAGTAGGGGACTTAGTCCCCGGTGTGGTGGTCTACCTCTCATTGGGGGAGGGACTTTTACGGGCCCGCAGTAATTGGCGTCATGCTGTTGCAGTGACCCTGCCAATAATTGGCGAATCTAATAAAATAAAATAAAATTTTATGGATTCATTATAAGTTTTTGGACTTGCCCAAAAAAACGCAAAATCTTTTTTTGGATTCGGAAATCCGGATTTGGATGTTCCCAAAAGACGCACCCCATGATAAACCTTTTTGACAAGTCTTCTACATGCTACTATTTGAATTTCATCATTTTACGAAATAACATTTTGAATTTTTCTTGATTTGCATCCTTGGTTTATCGTTAATCCGCTATTATGCCCCCACCCCCTCCCCTCTAATAAGGCCCCTGCCTTAGACAAACATAGTTATTAGGCACCCCTCTCTTTTAACTTCCTTTCTCACCCCCTCCCTTGCGTTCTTGAGTTTCGCAAGCAAAAACTAACATTTATCATTAATGACTGAAGCAAAGAATAATACAATTTGTAATAATATCGATCATAGCTAGTCATTTCCGTCCTCCAAAACAGGAATTAGAGTACCGCTTATAGTCGTCATAACTCCAGTATGGTTCTTCCTCTTTGCCAAAGGCACCGATTTTAGCCCCCTCTCCATTAAACCCCCTTCATCAAAGCGCTTAGAAAAAAGGTAAGCCCCGGAGGGGGGTGGGGCTTAATAGAGGATTTTAATTAATAGGGCATATGTATTCGATTAAACGCCGCGGCCTTTATTTTAAAAATTTTTAGCGTTTCCAGTGCGGCGTTTAAAGAAGGGCGGCGTTTATTTCGAAATCACTTTTTTGAAACTGACAAGAGTTATTGTAACTCTTTTGTGAATATTATGTAATTTAAAGGTTTCAATGTCTCTCTTATTTTGTTGAGATAGAATCGTAAATGCCTGGATGGTGTAAGTTACCAAGTTGTACCGAGGTTTTTCTTAACAATATCTTCGAGTGAACGCCGCATTTTTCTGATTAGGTGCGGCGTTTATTCGAGGGCGACGTTTATTGGTAATTTTGCTTCCATCTGCGGCGTTTGATCGAGGGCGTCGTTTAATCGAATAAATACAGTAACCAAGTTCTGGTGTAACAAAAAAAGAGGCTTCCAAGCTCTTTTTTTATTATTATTACTAACGCTGTACTGAAAAAGATGTAAGCATTTTGTCTAATTTAATATAATAAAGAGCAAGATAAAAAGCAACTGATAAAAAGTGTTGAGCTTAAACGAGAAGTTGAGCGAGGTTCAACTTTTACGCTTATGAGCAACCTTTCATGTATCGCCTCCATTTTACTTTCGAACGTAAATTTTACGCACGTACGCACGTAAAAGTTATGGGACACTGGAAATCAACCCTTACTGATAAAATTAATTGTCTCCGTAAGTAAAAACCAGACGTGCTTGTTGCTAACTTATAGTACATGCAAGTGCTGTATAATGCGCAACTGTTCGCTTTATATGAAGTAAAAAGATCACAGCTGTTTTATTCAATGCGCGTTGTCGAGCAAAGAGAAAGCCGGTTGTTTGAGAACGTATTCTCAGCCGCTTGGATAACTATGACTAAAATCTTCGCAGTAACAGCATAAAAGTATCGGGAGAAAGTCTACGCACGCGGCGTGTTAATGCAAAAAATAAAAGCAACGATGGAACTAAAAGATGAAGTTTTCAGTTTATCTTTACTGCATATGAAAATGCTTATTCTAGAAGAATAGCTCTCTATAGCTCCTTTGACTATTCCCGTCGTTATCCTAGTGAAATTTCATTCTTTCCGGCAGATCAATTAGCACCTCCAACCCGCCGTGGTACCGAGTTCGTCAAGCCGCAGGTTTCCGATTATTCAAACAAGCTTCGGGTCTGTCTGGGAAGGTGTCACCTGGAACAACTAAAAGAACTATATCCGTATTATGTTGCTGCTCACTCGCTTCGCTCGCTCCGCGGCAACAGCGAAATATAGCTGGGACGAATTCTCGAAGTCATCACTTTTGACCAGAGTGCATTGTATTTAACCAGAGTGCACTGCGCCACTTTTTACCAGAATGCATTTGGGCCACGAACAACTCAAATAGTTTGTGCATCGTTCGCTGCTCAGACTCAGAGGTTTCTTTGTGGCAAATTTTCTACAGCAGGGTAAGAGGTCGTACCAAATTTAAGACACGTAGGAGTCTTTCAGATGGGTACGATGGTTAACTTAGGGATTGGATTTCAATTCAAGAGCCTTTGAC